CAGGAATGTCCAGGGTGAGAGAGGCTCTCATTGGCAGGCCTTCGATGAGTGGAGGTGGTCAAATCCTTTCTGAGGAAGCTGAGAGTTGATGCATCTGATTTTACTATTCAGTTTGAGCTTGGGGGATCCAAGAAGCCACAGTTTCGGATCTGTGGGAATTGTTTCTGAAGAGGGTATTTTCAAGCAAGCAGATAGAGGCATTGCAGCTTTCCTTTATCCAGGGTTTTACAAATGCCTGGTCTTGGGGAGAGGTAGTTATCCATGGAGAGCTCTTTCAGAGCAACAGCTTGGGAATGACTATTGCTTTGGGGTATCGAAACTTTGTGTCCTCTATTCTTGGCAACTCTAGACAAGACTTAATAATTATTTTCCCTAGCTCGGACATATTGGTTGGGGGATGTTTTCTATCCTAGAGAAGGATGTGAGCAGTGCGATGGCAATAGATGCCTCGGTCAGCATCTTCTGCTGCTACACTCAAGGCAGTACACTCAAGGCATTGCTTTAAGACGCAAATGCAAATGAAGATGCTTTTGAATCACTTCAAGAGTGACTCGGACTTTGAGGAGTTTCCGGTTTCATAACTATACTTTGACAGAATCACGTCAAAACATGTATGTTCAAATTATATGCACAATTAAAAATCCAAACCATAACCATGAGAACAATAGAAAGAAATTCCTGTCCAAAGTTCTTGGTGAATGAAGGCTTAAAGCAAAAGTGCGCTCAACCCAAGTTTGAGTGGATGCAACCATCAAACATTTTGATATCAGGACCGTCCACATTCTAGAGGCGGTATTTGGATAACCAAATGCCTCTTTTCTTCAAAGTGGTGAGATATTAAAAGTTCCACATGACCCAGTGCAAGGGAAGTTCATGAGTTTATGAACTAGATGCTGAGGAAGTATTTTGGCATCTGCCCCAGTCCTAGGACTGCCACTTTTTAGCCAATGTATCAATTTTCTCACCCACAGTACTCATTATCTTAGTATCTCGTACCATAGCTACTTGAGGAACATAGCTTTATCTTGTCAGGAGATTCTAATCTTGCCTTTGTGCTCATAGCTGGAAACAACCAGGATAAGCATACATACTTACAGAGCGGTTTGGAGCTCGCTCCACAGGCCTAGCAACGACTTGTAATCTTCTTGAGCACCAGCAATGGAACCACTGTCCATGGCCATGGAGCAAACCCGTCGCAGCCAGCAGTTTAGCATGCCACTGCTGCTAAAGCCTCGGAGCCGCGGAGCAATGAGCTCGCTAGCACCCCTCGCAGCGTCGACAACCGAGGCCGGGATCCCGGCGAGAAGAGCGACTTGGAGACCATAGCTTGCAGAACTGGCACCGGCTCTCAGCTTGTACAAGAACGCCAGTTGCCTGTCGCTAGAGCTGCTGTCAAACGAGCAGGCCATGTGTTGGAGGCTCACAGATGGATGCCCAGAGAATTCCTGTGTCAGCGGGTGGTAATGCGTCGCAAACACTAGCCTGCATCCCACTGCTTCCACCAGATGCCGGAAAACCTGCCGCGAAGTGAAGAACACGCTCTTATAAGCCGACAAGATGGAAGGAGAACTTCTTTCAACCTCACCGCATAAGCTATAGCGTAACCATCAAAAGTGGAGGTTCCCCGGCCAAGCTCGTCCAGTACCACCAACGAGTTGCTAGTTGCATTGCAGAGGATGGACCCAGCTTCTGCGCATTCGACCATGAATGTGCCTGGGCGAGAATTGGCATAAGCATATTGGTCCTGAATAAAAGAAAGTATTATGTAGCTTACTCTCGCCAGACATGATTCTATCACGAGCTCCAATACGAGTGAATATGGTGTCGACGAGGGATAGCGTGCACGATTCACTTGGAACATAGCAGCCAAGCTGTGCAAAGGAAAAAAAAGAAAAGAAAGAATAAAGCAAAAAAGTAAGGGAACTTCTTACTTGTGCCATGAGAGTAGCCACACACGTTGCTCTGAGCAATGTAGATTTCCCGCCCATGTTTGGTCCTGTGAGAAGTATCGCTCGAGGCTTACCAAGGCCCAGTGCTATGTCGTTTGGCACGAAAGTCCCACCCATGCCTGCTGCTGCAAATGGATGCCATAGGCCTTGCATTTCCAAAACAGCAACGCCTTGATCAGCAGCAACGAACGTCGGACGGCATGTCGGCCCTTCTGCTGCTCGTTTAGCGGCTGCGAAAGATATTAGCACGTCGATGTAGCTCAATGCATCAACGATGGCTGTCCAATGGCGCTGATGCTTGTTAAACTCGAGTATCATCCAGCTCAAAGTCTTTCTTTGCGTTTCCTCGTCCTCGTCCTGCGGCCAAACACGACGTGAGAGAAAGGGTCTAAATGAGAAAAGAGGACCTGGTCTGTGTTCAAAGACTGTTTCTCCATGTCGAGCTTTGGTTCCATGCTCCACAGACATTCGATGCTGCTCTTCACCTTTAATAGCTTACAAGCTCGACGTAGAAGACGTGCCTTCGCGGGCATCTGCCTAAGGCACTCGAGGACCTGGTAAGCACGCAGAAGTCCCGAAACAGCAAGGCACAATGTCTTCAACTGCAGCTCAGTCGAACAGGGTCAGCAAAAAGAAAACAAACATATTTGGAACTTTACCCTCCGCTGAAATGCCTGTTTTGCAAGAGGTAGTAACACTTCAGCGAAAGAACTATCAGAAAATCCCCGTAAGCGGGCACTGAGTCGCTCCAGATCTGGCACCTTCCGGAGTAATGCTCGCAACTCAGCAGCACATTCGGGATTGCACAGAAGCTCCTCGACTGAATCTAGACGATGATTTATAGCTTTGGTGTCTTGAAGTGGATGGCAAATCCAACGTCGAAGAAGACGTTTTGCGAAAGCAGTTGCGCAGCTGTCAAGGTATCCCATGAGGCTTCCTGCACAAAATCACGCTTAATATTTTCTCACGCCTCTCACACCCCTAACGTACCAGCCTTGCCTCCGTTGGCTGTGTTTGCAAGCAACTCTAAGTTGGCTATTGTCTGACCGTCAAGCCTCATAAAGCCCCAATATAGTTCATACGCACAGAGAACACCATTATATATCTCCGCGTCCATCTGCTCAACATAAGCAAAAGTGAATTCTTGGAATGTGCAAGTCGTAAGAACCTTGATCCTGTGTAAATGAGATACGAGAGCTCCCAATGCGGTCATAGCAGCGTCTTTATGATCAACAGTGTCGAGAACTCCTGGAAAGCCAGGCTGTTGCCCAGAGCACTTGACGCACTCTTGGAAATATCCACGAGAGCTAATCAGCTCTAAAACAGTGGCTGGCTCAGGGAAGTCAGCACCTGGTTGCAAAGGTGTAAGAACCAGTGGTAAAGACCCTGCACAACACTATTATGTTAACATCATCCATGATATAGTTTAGATTACAGACCAGGACGAATATAGCGTTGAAACACTTTTAAGGCACTTGGCGAGAGACCTCCTATTTCGTAAAGCACCTCTTGAGGTGCTATCTGCAGTTTACATCTGAGTGAACGAAAAAAAATATAGAAGTCCATGAAACCATACCTGCATGACGAGCGCATCCAAGGCAGAATACGCATCATTATCACAGAATGAGCCGACATAGCAAAGACCACCGGCAGCGTCAGCGAAAGCAAACCCATAAATTACAGCGCTTGGCCCAGAGTTTTCCTGGTTAGCAAATAGGCGCTCAAGCACACTGAGAAGTTTAAAATACACCAGTACCTCTTTCACTGCTAGCAAGTGAATGGCTTCCGGTTTCATTATCCCGTCCGTGAGTGTTGAAGGCGTGACTACCTGAACAAGCTTTCTCTCTACCATCTGGACAGGCTTAGATTGTCAAAAAAGAAGTCCAAAAACTGATGAAAACTTACGGCATTTGGACCTCTTTTAGCCTTGGCTTGCTCTGAAGTTTCTACTTGTTCCATTCGTCCGACTTTGTAGCTAGTAAACGAAAAAGTTAAGCAATAACTTTTGTGGTAGCTTACCCCCGAGCCACAAGCTTCTGAACAGCGTCTTCAATTCCACTCTCAGGCACTCCAACCTGTCAAAAGACGAGTCGCAAAATCTGAGAACGCGATGACCAAGTATGCATTTACCTGTCTACACTTTCCAACTCCACTGATTGTCATTTTCCAGTCGAGCTCTTTGTGCCCGATCTCAGCATCTAGTTCATAAAGCTCGTAAAACTTCCCCTGAAAAGAGTCATTTGTGTTAGCACGAGGTGATAAAAGAAACTCACGACGGTAATCTCACCACTTTGAAAAAAAGAACAATATCCATGTAGTGGCATTTGGTTGTCCAATACTGCCTCTGCGATGCGGACATTTTCTTGAGCACGTTCTCTGGAATGTGGACGGTCCTGACGTCGAACAAGGGATCACTGTGATTCCTTCCATTTCCATCGCGAATGTTTGATGGTTGCATCCACTCAAACTTGGCTTGAGCTTCTGCCCAAGCACCTTGCTTCGAGCCTTCGTCGTCACCAAGAGCTTCCAGCAATTTCTTGCGTTTGCTCTCATCAAAGGTTTCTCTCGAGAAATCGTCACGAACGCGCTTAGTACCGGGCACCAAAGGAACTTCCAATCTTTTATCGGAAGTAGGCACTGGCTTCCTGTGAAGAATGAAAGAAAAACTATCAACGCATCGGTGATAAAACAGAGATAAAACAAACCTCATCTTGTGTGTAATGCTTTCGATGAGCTGATCCACCTACATTGATCGTCAGAAACCCTAGCTCCTCCCACAATCGAAAGATTCGTCGTTCTGACCTGTGAATCGCCGAGCTCGATTGGATTGTCCAGCCGCCTGGGCCGCCCCTGCTTCCGGCTCGTATCCTTGTCATAGAACGCGAGCAGTGATCGCTGCCGTGACATCCTAAAACTCCAGCTAAGCCTAAATGGCGGGAATGTGACTATATTTTAGGGCTGTCAACGCAGATTGCCCAGCCTGCAGGGCTATGTTTTTTTTTTAAGAGGCAGGATTGTCAGGGGGCATTTTTCCACGTAGACCGCCAACAATTTGGTCAAGATAAACTTATTTTAATAATCACATTATTATTTAATTTTAGATCCGAAATTACACAAAAAGGATCTTAAACCAGGGCCCTGGAATCAACTTCGTCAGTATCTAAAAGAAAAATGTTGTCTAAGAGCTTGAATGCCTTCTGTGGACACACCCTTATCGGATAGGTAGCCGCCTCTTGATCTGCTAAAAGTGTTAAGAAAACCAATAGAGTATGGAAGGTGTGTACCTCTTAAGCCTGGGCCCGACGAGCTCAGCTCTTTGATGTTCTTCAAGAGCCACGATGCGTGCCATGTATGAGACATGGTCCACAAAGCTATCAGAACTCATTCCATGCCTCACCTTCTCTGGACTTGCAAGGAAAAGCTGTTCTTGGAGATACTTTTGCGTCTGTAGCCTGCAGAGAACAATCACGATTTGCTTGAGGAAACTTAAGTCTTAGCACTTACTTGTTGAAGTTTTCCTCGTGCCAAGGAAGAGACCGCCTGCCATCACAAGCAGCATCACTTTGACAAGCTAACTGCATTGCTTCGTCGCACTCCTGTAAGAGATGGTAAAGGTTGCATCGTGTCAGCTGTTGAGATATTTCACTACACGGGGATTCCTCCATCTGAAAGAAAGCAAACAAGAAAATCAAGCAAAGCTATGCAAGGTGCACCAGAACTTACTCGAGACAACATATCGCACGAAGAAAAAGCCTCCGCAGCAGCTGCCAAGGCATCATTGACGCTGAGCATCGTCTGGACGGATTTAGAGTTGGAGCGCAAGAGTGAACTTTGTCCCTTCCTCATATCTAGCCACTGAGCTCGAACTGGATGCACTGGCTCGTTTGACGACGACGGGAACTCTTCAGTCACGCTTTCTTCGGTCGCACAAGTGGTACAATATATCAATCCTTCTGCTTCTTCTGCCAGATCTTTAATAAAGCCGGTGTTATTCCGCGCTTCCTTCCATTCCAGTCTTTTCGTAGTCTTTCGTGGTCTTTTCCGCCTCCCAGCACCACAAGTCTTAATCATGGCAGCTGGTCCACAGTGTTTTCCTTCCGCTTCCACCACCATGGTATCAAGTAATTCAGCCTCCACTTTCTTAGCCAGCCTTTTCGAGCTTTTTGACCTGCGAGCAGCCCGTAGAGACTCATCTTCTTCAGCTGCCTTTGCAGCATGCAAGGTGGCAATTTTTTCAGCTTTCTGAACTGCTTCTGATAATTTCCCGGCTACTAAGTATGACTGAGAGCAAGGGAAGCTCAGAGGAACCAACTCCGGCAATAAGCAGTACTCGGCGTCTGAATCCTCCCACCAAGCAGCTCGTGGAAGCAATATTCTTCTTTCATGACTGTTTCGCTTCATGCTTGAGGACTGGTCCGCTTCTAGCTCTGCGCTCGGCGGTAGAGCACCCTGTCCCCAAAACTGAAGCAGCATCATTAGCTTTCGCAAGTCCTGGTGACAAGATCCTACAATGCGTTTCATGATCCAAGGCTCTCCAAATAGACCATTTGAAGCACACACCTGCACATAAATTATTCAACATCAATATTTTAGTAAAGTTACCTTACCAAGCATGCGTGGACTAGCAAATCGTCCATGGTGGGCTTTATGAAGTCAATGACAGTTTTTCTCATGCGTGGCAATAGTGGTTGACGCCCTGCAAAACATGCGGATATGAGAGACATAGAAATATCGGTGAAATCGTACTGTTGCTAGTAAGAACCATGGGGCGTTTCGAGGACTTTGCTAATTGGCCAATTGCCGCCAAAAATCCCTTATCCTCCTCAAATACCGTGTCAATTTCTTCAAACAAGATAATTGTCGGTTTTCTTCCATCTTGATCGGAGCTATAATAAATTCACGTTAGAACTGTAGACCAAACAAAAACAAATCGGAAAACCATATCACTGCTTCAGATTGAGTTGCTTCTCCAAATCTTTTCTTGATAGTTGCTCCAGCGCGACTGTCTGAAGAGTTTATCTACAAGAAGAAAAGAGGGTAAAGAGGAAGTTCGCACATATACCACATTACCTCAATAACATTAAACCCGTGCTCCCTGGCGCATGCATAGACGGCTGCAGATTTACCACACTGAAAGAATGCTTCACCTTAAATCCCAGCAAACACAACATCAAACGTACCCCGACAGGACCAGTCACAAGCACGGTATTTTGTAGACCGTCCCGTAAATCTTCATCCTCAATCTCGTAGTCTCCATCGCTGTCTCTATCGCTGTCCAATGATGCCTGCTTTCTAGACAATATTTTCTGTTTCCATCTGGAGAGCCACTCGCTTAAGGAACTCACGGAGTCCCTGTTTCCACACAACTAAGAAGCAGGAACATCAGGCACGCAAAGATTTTAACTTGAACTAGACACCTGTTTAGAGGAGTGCGGCTGGTACAAACATGTCCACGAAGGGTTCGCCGTGGTAGTAACTCCATCAGTATTTCTAGCTAGATACCACGCATATCTGCAAGTCATAGTTAAAAGTGACTAATAAAAAACACAATGCCGCATACTTCTCCTTCAAACTTGCCACTGACAAGTGTTTATGACCGGACTCCTAACACAAAAAAGCGTTACAGTAGAAGCCTCTAAAAGATAAAAGCACTACCTTTAAAAAGTCATGAACTTTCTCCAAACTTTCATCCAGGGTAGCTGCATCAGATACGAAGCGTTGCGATGGAGCAAGCTTCTGGTCTTTTGAAATTAAGTAACCATGGTCATGGTCATCACTCGAAGTAACCTGTGATGCCGATGTTACAAAACAAGAACGCTGGAAAGAGTTCCAGTTTATGTCCGCGTCGACATTCTGCAAGACAACATGAAAAGAGGTTCAGTGATAGCTCAGAAGACTCTTTCTTACCATGGTATCTTGAAGTACGTGAAATGGCAAACACGGGTCCCAGAATGAGCCCCGCTTTATCGGCGAGTCCTCACTTCTCTCTTGTTTTTTGTTGCGCTGAAAAAACGGATGAAGAGGTTTTCCAGCGCTCAAGAGATTAAATTCCTGCAGATCTTAAGTAAATTGGAAGAACAAAGAGGCAACAAAGGTGATTTTACCTCCGTGGCCATTCGTGCTTCCTTGCGCAGATCGTAAGCACACGACAATGAATCCCGGTCCACAATTTCTTCCTTTCTAGTTTTTGCGCGGGACTTCTTTTTCTTGTGACGCTTTTTGGAAGCCCGCACTGGAGGAGAACTAATTGGTTCATCTGGTTCCTTAGAATCGACAGGTTCCTCGGTATTGACAGGTTCCTCGGCATCGACAACATTGGACTTCCTTTTCCTCAACCTCGTGGACCAAAGAGGATAAAAACCTGCGAGCGCAAGAAATGTTGAGGTAGAACAAACTTGGTATGATAATCCAGTCCAGCCTACCATTTTCCATTGCATTCTCATTGCCCACGCTGTCGATCTGTGTGCTCTCCATCGAATCGCGAATCTTCACCTCCGCTTGGCTGGCATTCGGTGAAGAACCTTCGATTCCTGGGCTCGGATCGCTTTCACCTTGAGTTGGAGAAACCCTAGGACGCAGGGGAGACGTTGCCTTCTTTGCGCCATCCTCCATCTGTGTGCTCTCCAGAGAATCGCGAGTCTTCACCTCCGCTTGGCTTGCATTTGGTGAAGAACCCCCATTGCTGTCGACTCCTGGGCTCGCTACAACTGCATCACTTTCAACTCGAGCTGAAGAAACCCTAGGGCGCAGGAACGCGTCAAGGGTGCCAGGACGTGGAGACGTTGGATCGGCTTTTGCCTTCTTGGCCCTCCCACGCCGCTTGTGCCCATCGGAGCTCCAGCCATCCGCCATAGCTTCCTTTCTCCTCGTCGAGCTAGGGCACATTCCAAAATTTGGCGCCAAAAATTTGGCCATCCGAGCAAGGTCGACACCGTCACCTTCTCAGGAATTTCCTTGGCAGCAAACGATCAATATCAATTAACCGAGCAATGATTTTGATCGTACTACCCTGTAAATGCTATGGTTTTTCAAACGGCTAGTTGATTTTAGGGTGGGTTCTTGTTGGCGATGGAGGTGGACTCCCCGCCACTGGCGAGGAAGGAGGCGCGATACTCTCCGAAGGTGAGTGATCGGGTTCACGAGAAAAGGTGCGGCATTCTTAGCTACTGAGCTGTCCAGGATGAAGATTTTGAGCGCCGCGACCAGCGGTACAAGGGCCAGCAGTACAGCCACCTCTATTACTGCCGGCTTCACAAATTTCGTGAAGTTCTCGGCTCGATCGTTCAATCCAGCCTTCCTCGTGTTCCAGGTGAGAGAATCATTTTCTTCTCTGGTCGGCATCACTTTCTTCTGCTTTGTAGTTTCTCCGATCTTGGGACTGAAAGATGGAAAGCGCTGCGTTGTTATTGGAACAGTCTACAAGCAGATGAAGCTCAAGCCATCCATTCTGGACGAATATGCAAAAGAGGTAGCTACGCTTGTCTGTGTGTTTTTGTGTGACTTTGCTTTTCTCCTGCAGCGCACAAAACCTCTCGCAACAGCTTCTAGTTTCATGCATTCAGAGGATTATTTGGTGCTAGAAGATGCGAGTGGTCGCGTGAAGCTCGTCGGCAGCATGATTGTGCCCTCGAATTATGTTACCGGTATGTATCTTGTGTACGACCAAGTGTTCGAAAGGACTCTCGTTTGTCGTTGCAGGCATTGTTATTGCTGCTTGGGGACAGGGAGGAAAGGACGGCGACTTCTTTGTACGACAAATAATTGAGCCCGGTTTACCACCTCAGTCACCATTGCCTTCCATCACAGGCAAGCCAGCCTGCCCCTACTTGAAGTTTCGCGTCTGAGCCCGTCTTTTCTCAGAGGACAAGTATGTCGCCCTCGTTTCTGGCTTGAGGATTGGTAGTGATCATTGTAACCCTTTGCAAATACAGCTCTTGGTTGATCACCTTACCGGGCATTTGGGCGATGAACAGGTAATCAGACACAGGAATATTATATCATGACCTTTATTGTCTAGGAGCAAATGTTGAGCGCTCAGGTCGTTCGTCTGATAGTTGCGGGAAATTCTCTTGATGTGCAATATAACTTGCTCGCCGGGCAGGTTTGTCTTCCAAAAACATCCTGTATGCTCTTAGCATTTGCAGGCTATTTCCGCCAAGGACCAAGCGAGGTTGACTGAACCAGTGAAGGAGCTTGACATTGTGCTAGCTCAAGTAAGTCCGTGCGCACGCATTTGCTACTTACATTGGGCCTGTAACAGATAGCAGCAGCAATGCCAGTTGATATTATGCCCGGCGCAAATGATCCTGCAAACTTTACTTTACCCCAGCAGGTATGAAATGCTTGCTGATATTACCACCAGAATTAAGACGCTATTTCAGCCCTTGCATAAGTGTCTCTTTCCTGGAGCGTCTGCTTACAGTACCTTTTTATCTGCGACAAATCCTCATCGATTTGAACTGGACGGTATAGAGTAAGTATTCTCTGTTTGATATTACTGTTTCAGGAATCAACTAGTTCTGTGCAGGTTTCTCGGCACGTCTGGACAAAATGTCGATGATCTTGAAAAGTACTCGGAAGCCAAAGATGTCATCGAACTTATGGAAAGAACTCTGCGCTGGAGACATATTGCGCCTTCAGCTCCTGATACACTGGGTATGCTATTTCACGCAAGTAATGTCGCTCACTTTGTGCTGCGAGCAGGCTGTTTTCCATACACGGATAAGGATCCGTTCGTTCTGGACACATGTCCGCATGTTTACTTCTGTGGAAATCAGAAGAGCTTTATGACTCGCTTAGTTACTGGTATGTATATTTGCTTAGCCCTTCACCGCCTGTTTCTTACCGCCGACTGCTTCTTAGTTGAAGGGAAGTTGGTGAGAGCTATTTCGATTCCGCGCTTTTGTGATTCGGGAACTGCCGTGATGGTAACTTGTTCAGACCGTTTGTTTGTTGGCTTCCAACATCGATGATTGCCAGGTGAACTTGCGGACACTGGATTATCATCTGCTTACGCTTTCCACTGCCTTCGCGTTCGATGCTTGAGGTGGTGTAGTGTAACAAGTACTCACCACCACTCTCCAGGAATCAGTGTATGCACTCGCATCCTGTGCAGGCTTGCACAGTTTGTTTTTTTTTTTTTTTCTTCTCATCCTGCGAGTATTTATAAAATATGTGGTTAAATAATTAAAAGAAGTAGCAAATCTCTCTCTTGATACGATGTAGCGGTTCTAAAATGGGCGTAAGCCCGGGTGAGGCTTACTGGAGTCCACACCAGGTCAAAGCCCTTACTGTTGATCGCCCTTGCTCGTCACGCCATTCCCAAGCCAATCCTCCCCCTTGCCCTAGCTCCCGCCACCTCCTTTATCGCTGCTCTGCTGGATCCCAAGAAGTCTCTGTTGATCCGCCGCCCGATCCTCTATAACAAACCCCTCCCTGCCACATCAGATCTCCTTGCCAAGTCATCCCTCCACGTGTTCTCCTCACTTTGTTATACGGGCTCGGCCACTACAGCTGTCCTAAAATAAAATTTAATAAAATAAAATAAAATAATGGCACCACGTGGTCAACATCAGTCAAAGGGAGGCTCAAGTGTATATTAATGCATGTTAGGGTAAAGGACTAACCTACCCTAGGGCTCATAGAAGAGTGGCGGTGCAGTGGAGCTTTTGAGGTAGCTCGGTAAACCCTAAACCACCCCATTTTGGGTGGTGAGGAACCTCAAGAGGTGGCGTAACATAGTCTAGGGCAACTAAATCTTTGTCTTTTTTGCACCGGATCATAACATTGGTATCAGAGGAGTTGGTTGCAATGGCCGACCAAGCTGAACGTTGGAATCCTATTGTTGATGGTGGTGCCGACGATGGTGCCGACGAAATTGCGAAGATTTGGACCATTCAAGATGTGGTTTATGAGCTACGAGCCCTTAATCAAAATCAGCAAGAGATGCAAAATGAGATGCATGGCATGATGGATACCATGCGTGGGCGTGTTGAGGTGCTCGAGGCTGCACTCCAAGTAAGCCTTCTTTGGTAGATCAACTCAAGATTCCAACTTTTTCCGGTGATAGTGGTGTGGACGAGTGTCTCGCTTGGCTAGCCAAAGTGAAGAAGTTCTTGACTACTAGGGGAACTCCGGATGTAGAGGCTTTAGTGGCTATTCTGATGGTTTTGCGTGATGCGGGTCTTCAATGGTGGAATTGGCTTGAGGAGTCCCGTGTTGTAGATAAAAAACCACCAGTGTCTACCATGGATGAGTTTGAGGCTGCTTTTCGTTTACATTTTGCCCCTCATTATGATGTGGAGAATGCTTGTACAGACTTCGACATTTCCAGCAAGGGAAAATGACACTTGGGGACTATATTGAGAAGCTTACTCGCTTGATTAGTCGTGTTCTAACCAAGGATCCAGATCAGAACAAGTCCTACTTCATTGATGGCCTACATAGTGAGAGCATGCGGCAACACTTGCGTCATTCTCAGCCTACAAAGAGTTTGGAGGAGCTCTTTGATGCAGCTCATCAACTTGACAATGACAAGCACAAGTCTCACAAGTGTTCCCGGAGTCCTATCGAGAATTGTCGTGATGATCGCCGTGGACACAAGGATGGGAACAAGCATCACAAGTTGAAGTCGGTGGTGACTACTTCGGATGCAAAGGGGTCCAAGAAGCAGAAGTTCTTTGTGAAGAATTATAGACAGGGTTGTCATCATTGCGGAGAACTTGGACACTACAAGGCTGATTGTCCGCAATTGAAGAACAAGCAACAGGACAAGAAGAATGGCCAATCTTCTTTTCACGGTAAGTCAGATACTAAAAAGTTGCAAACTTTGCAGCGTGAGGATGAGGAGAACAACCATTCCGGTTGGAGGAAGCGACTTTCGATCGTTGCTCGTTAGCTCAACTGTGTGTGGAACAAGATGGAACTCGAGGATACGCGTGAATTAGCTTTAATGCTGGAGGGTGTGTTCCGTGGCGATCTAGTGCGGATTTTACTGGATAGTGGGAGCGATGACAACTTTGTTTTGGCAAAGTTTGTTGTGGAGCATGGCCTGGTCACACGCGGCGTTCTTCCATACACAGTGGAAGGTGCAGCTACCTCTACTCAACATTTTGATGCTTATGTCGAGGGGCTGGAAGTGTTGGTTGGCAAAACCACACTTAATCTCGCGGATATCCATCGTGTGGATCTCATTTTCGAGATGTCATGGTTGGTGAAGGTGGATCCAGAGATAAAGTGGAGTATTAAGTATATTTCGTTGGAGTATGGTGGCATTAAAGATGTGTGGTTTGGCGAGGGCGTTCAACCACCAGTTGTTATGCTCTCTGCTACATCTTTGAAGCAGGCTTGTCATAATGGAAAAACACTTTCGAGTTACTTGTTGTTTGTTTGTGACTTGGGGGACCAAGGCACGTGTGGGGAAAAAGTAGCAATACGGGATGTACTGGATGAGTTTTCTGATGTTTTTCCATTTGAACTTCCTCATGGATTGCCTCCGTTACGAGGTGTGGAGCATGAGATTACATTAGAGCCGGGGACGCGACCAATTTACCGACATCTATTTCGGTTAAGTTATGCAGAGGAGCAAGAAGTTCAACGACAAGTCAAGGAGTTACTTGACTTTGGATTTATTCAGCCAAGTAAGTCTCCATTTGGTGCTCCGGTCTTGCTTGTGAAGATGAAGGACGGTTCAATGCAAATGTGTATTAACTACCACGCTTAAACTACCGATAAAATGGAGACGCTTCCACGCGTTACCCCTTGTAGTCTTAATGGTCTCCTACCTCATTTTTGATATAGAACGTTTGCTTTGCCATGCCCTCAGCTGTTGCTGTGTCACTGTTTAGCATCCTAGCTACCCGAATCAATGCTGCCCAATACTGTTGCACAGACTCACCTCTCTTGAATTTGCGATCCCTCATCGTGAGGAAGGCACGTTCAGCAGGCGGTAGTGGCCACGTTGAATTGCCTCCTCCCAAGATTCCTCTTCAACTCCACTCAGATGGGCCATAAAAAATTGTTGTGCTTCCCCTTCCAGAGCCATGTATAATCTCTCTCCCTGCCACTTTGTTGTTATGTGCTGCACACTTGAAAATCTCCAGATAGAGCTCAAAGTCTTCTCCCATTTTGTATATAGGATACTTGACGTGAGCCAATGATGAAACTTCTAGGCAGAAAAGCTCCTTTCTCATTGTAGCATTTCCTGCTACTGCTAATTGCCATGTGACCTGGGGGTCCTTCAAGAGTGCAACGTCAGCATTCTCCAGCAGCCTCTCAGTGCTCGCCTCCACTCGTGGTTCCTCGAACAGCCGGTCAGACGCATCCTCCCTTTCCCTGAGCGGAGTGGAGCATCCGAGTCCCCTTCATAGCCAGATGCCCGTCCTCGTGACAGCGGAGATGCCATGCTTCCAGTTCATGCCAGACGAGAAAGGTGCCATGGCCCAAGCACGTCACTAGCACCACGAGTAGATCACCAAGATCCCCCCACCACTGGCCTCCCCGGCTCAGCTCATTCCTCAGCCCCTAGCTGGATGTATGGCAGCTCCAACCTTTGGATGCCATGCCTTATGACCAAACCTCTTGGTCACACTGGCTGTCCTAGCCAGGAAAGTCCTTTTGGCCATACGTGTCCTCCACGCTACTGCACAAGCCCTCATGCTCAAAATTTTAGTCATGCCAGAAATGGAATTGAAAAGGAAAATTCATATAGACTCCAGTATGCCTAGCCCAGATGTGATGAGGTGCCCCTCATCTCCACCATAAAATGGGCGTAAGCCCGGGCAAGGCTTACTGGAGTCCACACCAGGTCAAAGCCCTTACTGTTGATCGCCCTTGCTCGTCATCAAGCCAATCCTCCCCCTTGCCCTAGCTCCCACCACCTCCTTTATCACTGCCCTGCTGCATCCCAAGAAGTCTCTGTTGATCCGCCGCCCGATCCTCTGTAACAAACCCCTCCCTCAGATCCCCTTGCCAAGTCATCCCTCCACATGTTCTGCCTCACTTTGTTATACAGGCTTGTTATTGGCCGCTACAACAATCAAATCCAAAATTGAGTGTATACACTGTAAAGAGTTTGTATATCAAAGAGTGTTTGCTATTCCCCATGTTTGTGAGTTTTCATTAGCATGTACTCCCGCTGCTTCTGGATCATGGCCTCAAAAACGTCTAGCAGCGACTCCAGCGCCGTTGCCTCTGGCTCAAAGACCTTGAGTGCATAGACGATTCCCTCGAGAGTTGACATGCAGCCAGGCCGGGGCTCGGGCCTCACGAACTCGTACATGCTCTTGAAACTGGCGGGCAACTTGTACTGCGGCAGCTGGAACAGCCACGGGTTCTCCATGTAAAGCCGCCTGGCCTTGGACCACGTACCATCTATGACAATTATCTGATCGGGAGCTCGGCATGCTTCGCCACTTTCCTTGCCTTGCTCCCCTCCATCTACACCCGATCGATGGCCAAACTTAACGCCCGGAAACATTGCGTGCAAGTCCTGGGCCCTGTCGCTGGGGAAGATGAGAGCTGCGTTTGGCGAGAGGTTGATCCAGGAGGGTGCTGTCCGTGGGAGATATGGATCCATGGTAGCACAGCCGTAGAACCAGCAGTCGTGTTGGGTCCTGTCGTGCTGCTGACAGACGACAAGCTCGTCCTGTTCAGCGGGACTGCCATTACGCATGCAACGGTTGGAGCCCGCTACCTTGGGACGCACCCGATAAGAAGTGCCCGTGTTGATCTGCGGAACAACGATCACCTCAATGTTCTTGAGGCCCAGCATTGCAACCCGGACAGAGCCCAAGTGGTGCTCCTTCTCCTCGGGATTTTGGAGCACGGTGACACGGATCCTGTTGTGGATGGGCTCCCCGATCATGCCACACACGCACAGCACCGCCGCCTTGAGGCAGCGCTCGCAAAACTCCCTCTTACCAGCATCAGCAGCAGCCGGAGACTCCGGCATCCAAGAAAGAAATCCATCGTCCAGGACATCGCCCATCAGCTGCCGCCGCCCTAAACGAGAGTGTGTTAGGGCAAGCACCAGGCAAGACTGCATTCGCCTCGTCCAAGCCTGCAATGTCCTCCCGGAGGCGCGGGAGCTCCTCAAGCTGGCAGCAGCCACCACGGAGCTCTCGGCCGATTCCTACGTGTGCAACCTTCTCGTCCAGATGTTTGGGCGCTGTGGGAGTGCCGAGGAAGCGCATCGGGTGTTTGCTCAGATCCCACATCCAGATGCCTTCTCGTGGAAATCACTCCAGGCAGTGTATACCAAGCTTGGGGATGTTGACAAGGCCAAGAGCGTCTTTGATTCCATGCCAGACCGTGACATCTTTGCATGGGCAGACCTCCTTGCCGCCTACACCCGCTCCGGCCGCTTCGAGCAAGCACAGGAAGTCTTCTGCAAGATGCCCGAGCATGATCTTGCTGTGTGGAACACGATGCTGTACGCAGTTGCAAATACCAGGCATCTGGAGCAAGCCCGCAGCTTCGTCAACCGGATGCCTGCCCGCGACATTGTGTCGTGGACGACACTGCTGTGCTGCCCGTCTCTGGGCCTGGAGGGCGCCAAGGCGATCTTCGTCCAGGAGATGCCAGAGCACAACACGGTGGCTTGCAATGCAATGCTTGTGCTGCTGGTGAGGCATGGCGACTGGGACGAAGTGGACAGGGTGCTCGCTGCGATGCCCGCCAAGAACATGGTCACCTGGAATGCAATCCTCAGCTGCGCCAGAAGCGGGCATGTTGACAGGGCCCGAGAGGTTTTTGATCGCTTCATGCCCTTTAGGGACCTTGTCTCGTGGAACTCAATGCTTGCGGCAAGTGCCCGAAGTGGGCATTTAGATCAAGCGTCCAGCCTGTTTCATTTGATGCCCGAGAGGAACCTGGTGTCGTGGAACTCACTCCTGTCAGCTTACGCGGGAGTTCTGGACGTGGAGTCTGCGCAGGCCATCGTGAGCGTCATGCCGCAAAGGAGCCTCGTTTCTTGGAACGTCATGCTGACAGCATATGCCAAGACCGGGCATATTTTCGAGGCGCGGGCGCTGTTTGGGCGCATGGCTGAGCGCGACGTTGTATCGTGGACGGCCATGCTGACGGCGTACGCGGACCACGGGGATGTCGAAGAGGCCCGGTGTTTGTACGATGGGATGCCTCTCCGGAACGTGGTTGCCTGTAATGCCATGCTCGCTGCATATGCCCAGAACGGGCAACTGGACGAGGCGAGGCGCGTGTTTGACTCCATGCCCGAGCGAAGCCTTGCGTCGCTCAACGCCCTGGTCTCGGCCTATGCTCGTAATGGCTGCCTGCCGGAGGCACAGCGCGTGTTTGATTGCATGGAGGAGCGCGACATTGTGTCGTGGAACGCACTGCTTGCGGGCTATGCACAGCATGGAACCTGCAGCGAGGCCGTCGGCTTTTTCCGGAGAATGCCTCACCACAACCTCAATTCGTGGAACATAATCCTCGCCGTACTTGCCCAGAACGGGCATCTGCTGCATGCGCGGCAGGTGTTTGATGCGATGCCGGATCGCAGTGTGGATTCCTACGTGGAGATGATGGCGGCGTACGGGCGTGCGGGGCAATTTGGTTGCGTGAGTGCCGTGTTTGATGCGATGCCGTTCCAGACGGTGGTGACTTGGACTGCCTTCTTGTCGACGTATGCTCAGAATGGGCATCTCGACGAAGCCACGGGGATCTTCCACTCCATGCCCAAGTGGAATCTTGTGTCGTGGAACGCGATGCTGGTTGCACATACAAAGACTGGCGAGCTGGAGCAGTCGATGCTCGTGCTCAATGCGATGCCGGAGCGGGACTTCATGACGTGGAACGCCATGACCATCGGCCTCGGCAAGGCTGCCCGTTTGAAGCTCGCGCACACCCTGTTTGATAGGATGCCGGACCGACGGTCGTCACCCTGGAGCGCCATCCTCGCGTCCTACACACACAACGGTCGCTCCAGAGAGGCAGACGCTCTCTTTCGGGAGATGGTTCTCGAGGGTCTCAAACCCGACGACGCCGTGCTCACCTCCATGCTCTTGGGCTGCAGCCACGGCGGCCAGTTCACAACCGGACTATCGTACATCCGTTCCATGCTCATGGATCACGGCTTGAAGCCCGCCAAGCAGCACTATGGCTGTCTTGTGGATCTCCTGGGCAGGGCCGGCCACTTGGAGCAGGGCCAAGATCTCATCGCCAACATGCCCTTTGAGCCGGAAGCTCGAGATTGGATTTGCTTGCTCGCAGCAAACCGAAACGCGCAGCAGGCCGAGGCCCGCATTGCAAGATCCGCGGCTCTGGAACTCGATCCAATGCATAACGCGCCTTACGTACTGGCGGCGGCCTAAAGATACCAGTCGCCCCGGTGGAATATGCTTTGAGTCGTTTAGTAGTAAACCCTACAGCGAGCTTCGTGCGCCTTAGATCTGCGAGGCCGGCTCCTCTAGCGCGAGTGTTTTGGTGCGCCATGGATGAGGAGTACGACGTCATTGTGCTGGGGACGGGTCTCAAGGAGTGCATCCTCAGCGGGCTGCTGTCGGTGGATCGTCTCAAGGTGGGTTTTTCTCGATCGGAGTTGGAAGACATCTCTCTCGCAGGTGCTACACATGGACAGGAACGACTACTACGGGGGAGAATCGGCGTCTCTCAATCTTGTCCAGGTCTGTGCGTCACATTAGGGCGTCTGTCTCTCTCTCTCTGATCGTTGATCGTGCTCTCTTGCAGCTTTACCAAAAATTCCGCAACAGTGACAAGCCTCCACCGTCGCTCGGTCCGAGCAGGGACTACAACGTTGATATGATCCCAAAGGTTTGGATCCACTTGACTCGCTAAAGATTTCTCTCACTCCCCGCATTCTTTCTTTTTTTTTTTGCAGTTCATGATGGCTAACGGGCAGCTCGTCCGAGTTCTCATTCACACCGATGTGACCAAGTACTTGGCTTTCAAAGCCGTAGATGGAAGCTTTGTGTATACCAAAGGGAAGGTAATCGAAAACAAAAATGTCGAGTTTCAATTCAAACCTTTGGGCCATTTTCTTTTTTCCAGATCTACAAAGTTCCTGCAACCGATGTAGAGGCTATCAAGTCTACGCTTATGGGCATTTTTGAAAAGAGGAGAGCGCGGAAATTTTTCATCTATGTGCAGGACTATAACGAAGCGGATCCAAGGACTCAAGACGGCATGGATCTCAGTAGAGTAACGACCAAGGAGTTGTTCGCGTAGGCTTGTTCATTACTTTTTTTGTGCGTCTATTCACCATGCTGTTATTCTTCGTAGGCACTTTGGACTTGACGATAACACCATCGATTTTATTGGCCACTCACTGGCATTGCACCGGGACGATAGATACTTATCTGAGCCGGCTCTGGAAACGGTGAAGAGATTTAAGGTACTGCTACAAACTATGTCTTTTCTTCCTGCGGTTGTCATCTTAATGCTTTCTTCCGAAGTTGTATGCAGAATCTCTGGCTCGCTTTCAAGGCGGTTCCCCTTATATTTATCCGCTCTATGGCTTGGGAGAACTTCCTCAGGTTGGCTTTTCCTCCCTGTGTCCTTGGATAGTAAACTCTGCTGCAGGCATTTGCACGCCTGAGTGCCGTATACGGCGGGACGTACATGCTTCAGAAGCCAGACTGCACGGTACGCGTCGCATGCGTTTGCGTATCTTTTACATCGCGCGTGCTGTTTTTGCAGATAGAGTTTGACGAGGAAGGCAAGGTTAGAGGCGTCACCTCCGAAGGTGAAACTGCCAGGACCAAGAAAGTTGTCTGCGATCCTAGCTATGCACGAAACAAGGTAGAGAGGAATTTGTATTCGTTTGTGCCAGCACTCTCCCTGACAAAGTTTGCTTGACAGGTTCGGAAGGTCGGGAAAGTTGTCCGGGCCATATGCATCATGAGCCATCCAATCCCAAACACGAACGATTCCTCGTCAGTTCAAGTTATCCTTCCCCAAAAGCAACTGGGACGTAGGTCTGATATGTAAGTGTGTAGTAGCTTTGCGATGTTGTGGCCTGATATAGTGATTGTTTCTGCTAGGTACGTGTTTTGCTGCTCTTATTCGCATAATGTTGCTCCAAAGGGCAAGTTTATCGCCTTCGTGTCGACCGAGGTGGAGACGTCAGAGCCCGAAAAGGAGCTCCAGCCAGGGCTCAGTCTTCTTGGGCCTGTGGATGAGATGTTCATTGACGTTTACGACAGGTTTGAACCAGTGAATGACTGGACACTGGATAACTGCTTTATTTCCAAGGTGATGCTCCATTTCTCTCCAGAAAAAGGATGTTGCTAATCATCCATCGTTGGCTTTTTTCAGAGCTACGACCCAACCACACACTTTGAGACTACAGTGCAAGATGTTCTTGCCATGTACACCCGCATAACCGGAAAGGTATGGTTTGTAATAATTCTGGCGCCAACATCTCACATCTAAATTCCGCAGGTCCTGGACTTGAGTGTGGACTTGAGTGCCGCCAGTGCTGCGGACGAGTGAAAGTCTTCACTACGGGCCTTGTAAAAATCTGGTGAACGATTGTTGTTGTCCGCGTTTTTTTATATGAATGAATACCAAGTCTGTCTTCCAGTTGCTCTCTCCCTCTACCAGTGTGGAGCAAGCGAAGCAAGAGCAGCAAGAGTGAGAAGAAGTGCCATGGCTTTCCTCGCCAAGCCTGGATCAGACACCTCGTCCCTCTGAAAGCTGTCTTCGGGCATGCTGGCACACGACAAAGCCCACAAGAGGCCAAGCCAGGTGTTGCCGCTGGCCAGGAGCGACACACTACCCAGAACAAATGTCAAGCCGGAGACGTAGCCAAACGCGCGCCTTCCCAGGCACGCGGTGAGCATGCGGCCACCCTCGGAGACGCCACAAGGGAGCAAGCTGACGAGCGTGAAGTTGAATCCCAGCAAGCCACCGAGCGCCAAGGGACTCAGGCTCACCACGGGGTCTCCGTCACCTTCCCACGGCCAAACCGACGACGAGAGCTCCTTGAGCATCCAAGTGAGCAGGCCCGAGTGAGCAAAGGCCCGAGACGAGACCTCGACGACGGGCATGGCAGCGGAGGCGCCCGCAGCGACGAGCAGGGCCGAGAGAGCGAGCTGCAGCAGGGATGTGGCGGCGGACAAGTCGAAGAGGCAGCGCCGGTTTGGCAGGCATCCACGATAGTAGACAAAGGTTGGGATGGCACCGAGCTGAGGAACCGGGAGCACGAAGAGCGGCGTCACGGCCCACAGGACGCCGTAGAGCGACGCCACGGCCCTCCGCAGCAGCGTACCGCCGGCAACGACGGCTAGCAGGCCGAGAGGAGGCACGCACTGCCACAGCGAGGGTGACGGCATTGACAAGTTGGCACTGCTAGCGGCGGCCCAGGCTAGCATGAAGTAGGAGATCGCGGCGGCCTGGCGCTCCGGGAGGTGGAGGAAGATGAGGGACGTGCAGTGTGTGAGCAAGCATGCGACTTGATCGCCACCACCAGCACCCGCAGCGCCAGCGTTGAGGACAAAGGCAGCCCAGCCGCGGTTTCTCTTGTCCAGCTCGCTCTGGAGCTGGCTCTGGAGGGTGGCGGCGTTGATGCTGGTGGGTGAGGATAGCAGGCAGAGCCTTCCATAGCGGACTGCGAGGCGCCGCGATGGCAAGCCCGCGGACACAGTGTCCAGGACGCGGCCGAGCTCTCCGTCAGCGTCCAGGATGAAGTTGGACATCCTGTAGGCGTAGTCGAGGGCGAGCTCCGCCGCCGCGGATGGACCTTTCCACCAGAGCTTGAACTTGACGTACATGGACAGCACAAACCACCTCTCGAACCTCATGTCGGTGTGAGAGACGCTGTTGAGAGGCTCCCCATTCAAGTCGCAGAACAAACCCGACGCTAGCAGTGATCTGGCCTTGAATCGCGCCACGTCCCTGTCCACCACCGCCTTCAACCGTGACAAGCCACTGCTGCTGCTGCTGCTGCTGCTGCTGCTCGAGATTGAGAAGCGATCGTCGTTGCCATCGTCTTCGTCGTCGTCAGCGTACACGGTTGCGAAAGTTGCTACCAGGAGAGGGAAGAGATTGTCGTGCCTTGGAATGTAGATATCGGTCTTGCCAAACAGCTCCTCCCTCACAAAGCCCATCATCTCATACGACTGCTCCATCTCCTTGTTCTTCTTCTTCCGCTTGCGCTCGTTGGCTTCAATCAGCCCGCCACCAGCAGCCCCATCGTCTCTTCCTTGGAACATCCGCATCACCGAGCTAGACACCTCCATTTTCACAGAAGACTGCTGCTTCTCGTCTCCATCGCTGCCTTGTCCTTGCCCACCTTGTTGTTGCTCCTCCTGGGCTCGGCAACACTGGTGTCTCCTCGGCTGCGCCACCACCCTCCTCGCCCGCCACGGCGCAAACGTGACCACCACTGCAGCCATGAGAGAGCGAGAGAGAGAGAGAGCTTTGCCCTAGCGAGGAGCACAAGTTATGATATGAGCGAGGTGGAGGTGAGGGCGCTGGTGGAGCGCGAGGTGCCCGGCTGGGCGGAGGACGACGTCAAGGTGGATGCGCTGTTCAAGGCCTTCTCCGGGCAGCGCGAGGATTGGCAGGGACGGCTCGACTTCTGGCGAGCGCTCATCGTCAAGCTGGCTCGTCACCTGGGCCTCATTGTCATTGACGGCCGGGAAGTGAGTATGGGATTCTCATTTCTAGCTATAGCCTAAAGCACGCTGTGGCACAGGTGCAACTGCGATGGTTTCTACGCGGTGGACTACTGCCCTTGTGCCTGAACGATGTCCTAGTCAGTATTCTTAAACTGTTTCTCTTTTGGATTCATATCCTGGGATGGAACAGCGTGAAATGCTGCGGTCTGGAGAACTCCAGGCATTGGAACAGCAGGAGCGGCAGCAGCAAACTTCAAGCCTGGGACGGGCTCTGGCATGGGCGCTGGGTTTCCAAACGGCCAAGGACACCATCGACACTGCCGTGGGTGGCAGACTAGTCGTCACCGTTCTTCTCAAGGTAATGCTAGACTTCTCCTTGTGTCTTTCTGATCAAGCACCTTGGCAGGAAAGGGTGGCGCACGTCTGCAAAACTCTAGCTGACACAAGCTGGAAATCGGACTGCATTGTGACCATGAAGTCGTTTGTGGGGCTGTTTGGCGACACCGACGACGCCAAAGCTGCAATGCACTACCTGCTTGACAAGAAGCTGGCTCGACACGTTTGCATCGACGAAAGGGATGAGCTGATTGAGGTAACACGGGCAAGTCTGTCGTCGTCTAAAGAGCGCGCAAGCAGGGGCTCAAGATATCACTGGTGCAGTCTTGTGTGTCTGCCTTGAACCAAGTGGATTACCACATGTTGCAGCTCCACTGGACCAGCGAGAAGATGAAGCAGAGGTTGGATGCTCTTGACCAGCGAGTTTCACAGTGAGTTCCGTGAGCTGCTCGATCTCCATGCGTGACTTGTCTATGCAGGCTTCGCGAGGCTGCGGTCGGGGCTAAAGACAAGCGTGTTGCCTTGAGACACTTGAGATCCATGAAGGTCTTGGCAAGCAGCCGGGACAAGTGTGCGGACCTCATGGCCAGGATCCAGGAGATACTGGACGCCATCTCTGATGCAGAAGCGACTAAAAAGGTGTTTGTTCCCAATTTTTGGTGCAAAATCTTACAGGAGGGTGTGCTCAGGTCTCGGAAGCCATCCAGCTAGGGAACCGCGCCATGAGAGAACACCACGTTACTCTGGAAGAAGTGCACGAGCAACTCAAGGAGATGGACGAAGCAATGGTGCTGACGAAACTAGTCGGAGACGCTCTAGGTGATGTAGTTTTACGTTTGTGGTGGCTAGTTTTACCGATGTGCCGTGTCGCAGGTGGCTCGGCGAGCATCGACGCTGTTGAAGATGAGGATCTGCTACAAGAGATCGCCAGCCTCGAGGAGGAGGTTAGCCAAGAACCGGGAGGACACAAAGAAGAGCTGGCAGGGACAATCTCTAGACCGGATGAGGAAGTTGCTTTGGTGGTGGAAGGCTTTTCAAACTTGCAGGTAGCATCGGCCTGAGGTGGCACAAGGATTTTGTCTTTTGAACGGTCGCATGTCCCCATAACCAAGTGTTCTATATCCACAGCCGACGCTTTGCTGCAGTGTGGGACCGAGATTAACGCACACTTCTGCAGTCACCACTAAGATTTGCAGCACCCTGCTGCTCCAAAGTTTCCTGGTCGTCACGAATCTATTGATCAGTGGCAAGCTAAAGATCACAACCATAACGAAGTATCACAACCTGAGTACGCAAAATAAATATAAAACCTAGAGATGTGACTCCACTTCATAAGTTTGAGATGAGCATTCTTCCGGAATTTCTTCAGAGACGAGATGTTTCCACATTCGATATTCAGGTGTCTCCATTAGCTCGCCTAAATGAAACAAGAAAATAAACTCTGAAATAAAGCATGAAACTACATACCTGAAGAAATTGCCTCGTCAATCACTCCCATAAAACGATCAGAGTCCTCGCTCGGCTTCGAACACATAAGATGTGCAAATACCCTGGCATGGAACAATTTTGATTTTGAGTATGCAGTAAGAAATTCTTTGCTTACTCGTCCATATCACCGTCATGCTTTGTATACAAGTCTTTGAGGTCTTTCGTCTCAGCCTCTGAACCTCTATAATCGTCATGGAAACTTTCGATATCATCCAATGTCACTCGCTATTATAAAAAAAATTATTAATTTATCAGGAAGTGTAGAGTTTATTAGTAGTTTCATACTTGATTGCTTCTTCTGGAGAGCTCATACACTGATGGGTAAGAATCTCCCATTTCCTGGCAAGATGAAGAAACCATAAGAGAAATAATAAACAAAGAACTTACAATGCCCATTTGGTCATAAATAGCCCTCTTATTGGGATCACTCAAGATCTTGAAGGCATTATGGAGCCTTTGGAAGTTTCCCATGGCATCCTGGGAAATAAAAAGAGATAAACAAGAGATCATTTGCTACAAGAAACCTTATTTCCTGGATTCTTGTCTGGATGCAACTCCAGTGATCGATTGAGGTAAGCCTTTCGTATCTCGTCACTTAATGCTGTCCTTGAGACTCCAAGAATCTACAGCGACCATAAGCAAAAATGGAATGATTGGAAGAATGCAAAACTGGAAGAATAGATATTTTATACCTCATACAAGCCTGTGCCGTCTTCAAGCTTTCCACTGCCTCCAGCCCCATCATGCTTCCCAGCCATTTCTACAAGGGTTTTACCCACAAATGTTGCGAGGGTTTTCCCCGCAAGGGTCGCTCTTGATTCTCCCGCCAGTCACAGTACAGTATATTCGCACAATGTGCTTTGCACAAGTCTACGTTTTAAAGAGCAGCAAGGACAAGATATTCCTAATGAGATATGCAGGAAGCTAGTCGTTAAATCCACTCCAGCGAGAAAATGAAGCAGAGACCGATTCGTGGATGAAAGCTTGTCCATGCAGGTTTCGCGAGGCAGCGGTCGAGGCAGCGTGTTGCCTTGAGACGATTAAGATCCATGAAGGCCTTGGCAACAAGTGTGGCCAGGATCCAGGAATACTGGACGCCATACTCTGAGGCAGAAGCGACTAAAAAGGTGATTGTTTCCAAGTTTCGGTGCAAAAACTTACAGGTCTCGGAAGCCATCCAGTTGGTGCCATGGACGAAACAATGGTGGCTGACAAAACTATAGTCGGAGACGCTCCAGTGTGATGCTCAGGTGGCTCAAGTTATTCCTCTCTTTGTTTTGGATTTTCTCACGGGGCTCTTTCGAATGGTCGCGTGTCCCTGTAACAAGTGTTCCACACTCTATCCACGGCTGATGCCGCCTCCGCTTTGCTGCAGTGTGGGTTCATAGCCACCGACAGATTGGCCCTCCTCCTAACGCACACCTGCATGGCAGCATGAAGCCGAGAAACTCAACTCTCAATCAACGCTTGCCTGCTGATGCTTTTGGATCCCAAAGTTTCCTCGGTTGAACTCCTGTTTGAAGCGGCAGTCGCCGCTAAGATTTGCAGCACGAATCTAGATATACGGTCGCCAGCACAAGTTAGCAACAGCACAGAAACGTTGTACGCACCTCGCTACAAGCGTGGTGCTCGCAGTTGGTCCAGTCCAAGTTCCTGGCACGGCAGTGATCGTAGGCATGGATGAGTTCGTGCGCCAAGATCGCGTCTACCTCCTGCTGAAACCCGACGCGGTTGCTGCAAATCACTACAAGAGAGGAGCGCTCGCGTTTGTGTCCGCGTCACCAACGATGCGATGCCTACCCACACCCTTATCGGACTGGAACCCGCCCGCGACCTTTTGCTCGCATTCCTCCACCTTGAAGAAGTTGCTCCCGGTGCTGCAGCCCGCCTTGTCCAGGGCCTCCCGCAGAAAATGGACAGTGGGATCTGTGGCAAGTCAGCAACTGAGGAGACCCACAAACACGACCACTCACTCACTTCGCTTGAGGGTGTTGGCCACCAGCTTCTCGCAGCGCTCGACGCTGGTGCCATAGATTTTCTTGGCTACCTCGTCTTCCATGACCTAGAGGAAGCCTAGGTTTGAGTATACTAAGCATTTTTAAAAATAAAAATAAAGAACCTTTCTCTAATTTATGTCTTCGATAAAGGTACAAATACTTGTATTTCTGTGTTCAAGTTAGCTTTAGTTTATTTTTTCCTTATTCACACTTTCAAAAGTAAAACTGATTTCTTTAAATCAATTCTAAAATATAAAGTTGATGTAAGATATGAGTTTGTAATAATAATAACAATAATTTTATATCTTTTAAATTGTTGTTTTTCATAATAATAAACGTTATAATAAATTTATTAATTGTAGGTAAATTAATTAGATTATAAAAAATAGATAAATTACTATTTATTCACTATCAATCAGTTGTAAAATAGTGTGGAATTTACATTTATATATAAAACTATATTTTTACTTATTAACTTTCTCTATTTTAATATTATGAATTTAAAATTTTAGTTCACATTCTGAATTAAGTTTTAAATTTTACAAATACTTCTACATTTTTATTAACTAATTAAAGCCTTAAATAAATAAACAAATCATTACTGTATTTTGTAAATTATTTTAATGTTTACTATTAACAATCAATTCATTTTCATTTTCAACAATCAATTCAGTTTAAATATTAAATTTAAATAAATAAATAAATGGAATGCTACTATCACATCATTTCACACCTGGACCTGGTGAAGCAGTTTCTTTCTCAGTTCTCTGTTTTCTCTTAAGGCACCCAACAGCTTCCTCTCCGCCACTGCTTGCTTCCTCACTGCAAACACAATTTGCTGTTGTGACTCTCGCAACTGTTCTTGCAAATCGTCCTCATCAATGTCCTTGTCCTTGCTACTGCCGCTGCCCTCTTCCATGGTATTCCTCTGGTCGTTTAATGAAGAAGCCCCCTTCCTCTCTAATTTGAGCTCCTCTACGAGTATCAATGCTTCTTCCAAACGCTTTTCAATCTCTTGTTTCTCTGTCAATGCTCGAGTGAGTGCCTCCGCCAGCTCGAGTTGCTGCTGCTTGTTCTCGGGTCGCGTGGACAGACTGTCCCCTTCACTGGACAAACTCGGCACAGAGGACTCCTGCACGTAATGCAACAAAAACAAGGTTGGGAGCAAAACCGGGAAATTCACGAACCAGCTCCTCAATTACGTCGACAGCGGAATTGTCTGCTCCCTGTGGTGGTTGATTTTGATCCAAGCCTCTGGCATTCAAAGAGCCACTTGTAAAGCTGAACGGCAAGGAAGAAGCGGAAAAGTCGTCATGTAGCTCTTTGATGATCTCGTCTCGCTTGGACACGACAGGAACAGTTTTGCTGCTATTACTGATCATCATGACAAAGATCTGAATCGGACGTTATCGTTTGCACAAGAATTTTGGTCAATCCGTTTACCTGATTGCTTAGAATTGCACCATGGCCTCCAAACACCAACAAAAAGACCTTTCCTTTGGTGCGAACCTTGACGAGGCTAATGCCCTACATAGCACACGAAATTGCAAGTTTAAAGCATCATATTCAAAGCCGGGTGAGGCGCCTACGTCGTTCGCAAGGGGAGTACCAGGCTGCACAGTAGTCACAGTTTGCCAATTCCCGGAATCTACGTTGAATGCCATTGTCTCTAAAACCTCTGGCAATTCCTTGGGAATTTTAGAAGGATTTGAAACGTATAGAGTATGACACTTACCACCTCCTTTGTATTCACCTCCAACAATGTACCACTTGGATCCAACCATCACTCCAGCATGACCTGCTCGAGGGGATGGCACCGTTCCTCTTGGTTTCTCCTTGCTCCATTCCATCTGAAAGACAAAATCTTCATAAGCACTGGAGTAAACTAAACTGAATGCACATTTTGCAAGTCGAGAACGTAGATGTCATTGTAGTAGTTCCCCTGAGCCTTTCCTCCATAAACTAGCATATATCGTTCGTTATAACAAACTGCAGAGTGACCTCTCCGAGGAGAAGGCTTTGAGCCACTGCGAGATGCTCGCTTATGTTAGACGAATGGAAAGCACTCTCTCATCATCAACGATGCTTGCCTGGTCTTGGGTGGACGCCAGACTAGCGTCTTAAGGTTTAGTATATGCAAGTCATTCAGCATCTGCCCCTTGCTGTCCTCACCACCAAATATGATCAACGAGGAGCCTACTTGGACTACACTCTGCCCCGTGCGTGCTACCTGAGCACACAAAAATATTTTTCAGTAAATTGGACCCAGCCCTTCAAAGGAAATCTTAAAGTAAGTTACTGGAACTTCTCCTTCGGGAGCAAGTACGGACCAGGATTGCGACTCCAAGTCCAGAGCGAAAGCTAAAACAGGACAGGTGTGTTATCAATCGGAACAAGGTTGAGGGACAAGTTACCTCTAAGTTTCTTTGACTTCGGCTCGATCCGTCCACCAATTACAAGAAGTTTAGTCTCCCAGAACGCCTGGCAGCTTGATTGATAAGTGCCAGCTTTCAATCTCTTCTAGAACTTGAAACATTACCAAGCAGTGACCAACACAACGGGGCCCTCGAGCATCGACGGGTATAGATCTGGATGGACTGTAGAGTGAAGGTACAGATCCACAGCCGAGCTGAAGCCAAACACCCCTCTCAGCGTGAAACACCTGTGCAAGCTTAGGATTCAGATCATCTCGTCTTAAGAAGATACTAAACAAGACCTGAACATCATCGAGGATGCCGCCAGCCGAGACGCCACCCAGCACGAACATTCTACGTCCCACGGACAAGGCAGCATGCTGTGCACACAAAACACACCTTGTTGAGAAAATCTGCAAGGCTGCAACCTACCTTTGCCCGAGCGGGAGGAAACGAGCCAGTGGGAACAAAGAGGCACCATTTGTTCTCCACACCAATATGGCTCAGCGATTCCACCACGCGCCCTTCGCTTGCGTCCTCGTGCTCGCTGCAAACCTCCTATATAGATACGCAGAATTCGATGGAACTTTCACACATGACAACAAAAACAAATACAATCAATCAGCACCTTCAAAGCGGCGGACTCGTCTCTCACAAATCTGCCGGCGCCATTACGGGAGGCCATGGAGTCGGCCCAAAACGCCAAGCCGCACTCCTTAAGAGCCATTGTCGAGCTCTTGACATGCTTATTTCTCTCAAGTACTATAGCACTGGAGCAAAGGCAGTCCCTCGGACGGACCGGACTAGATTTGTCCTCTTTCGCTCGTCCACAAAATTGCACACGTGTCCTGCCACCAGTGGCTGGATGCCCTCTTATAATCAGCGTCGGGTAGCAATTTTTACTTCTAGGTTTCTAGTTTTAGTGCCGCGGTGGTGTGTGGCGGTGTTGGGAACGTACACTTGTTCTTGGACATCCAACTCCCACCAAGAGTGAGATTGCAGGCTGAGGTGCCCGTGGCAGAAATGCTTATTTTCCATTGGCGACGCCCCGGGCTCCTATCCATGCCATGCTGCTACATTTCCTTCTTACTCGAGTGTGTTTTGAGTGGCGAAGGAAGCGACTGCTTCCGGTGCATTAGGGAATGGGAATCCCCTTGCCCCTTTTGCTTTTCCACGGTCACATCTTGGAGCGCAACGGCTTCAAGAACAATCTTTGCACGGACACCGCCCCAGCCTTGCCGTCTGGTGAGCAGGGACAAGGCTTCTCCGTTGCTATACTTGCAGTGGCCATGGATGATCTGTGAACTCACTGCTCCGCCTCGAGCAATGTTGGGCTTGAAAGCTCTGGCCAGCCGACTCATAGACTGGAATTTCTCTTGCCGCTGTGCCGGTCGTCTTGTGATCGTGGATCCAACGTCCCCCACAGTGTGCAGCGCGAAATGTCCCTTCAGTACAAGCGCCGAGAGAACTTGACAATAGGAGAGAGAAGGGAGAGACCTATAGGCTACGACCTGTAGGGGATTTTGTGGGTGCTTTGCTTTCCCGCGCTTGTTCAGTAGACCTCCACCACTCCCCTAAATTAGACATGTCAAGTGGCTGGATGCCCAGTTTTAATTGAGCAGCGTCGGGGTAGCCATTTATCGCTTGTAGCTTTTTAGTTTTGGTGCCGCGGTGGTGACGCCATGTCGGGAACACACGCTTGTTCTTGGACATTAGAAAACCCCCACCAAGATTGAGATTGCAGGCTGAGGTGCCCGCGGCTGAAATGCTTATTTTCCATTGGCGACGCCCCGGGCTCCTTCGCATCCTGCTACATTTCCTTTCTGCTTTAGGGTGTTTTGTGTGGCGATGAAGAGGCTCACAGCCATGGGGACAGCAAGCCACAGTGGCAGAGCAAGCTCCGAGGACAATCTCTCGTCCGCCTGGCTGCCTTGGACAAGCGATCGCACGTTTCCACCCGCCGCTCTCGAGCCTTGACTCATGAGCCGTGAGAAGCAAGGCGTCCGAGACTCATCCATAGCCTTGAACACGCTCTCGGCGTCATGGGTGGCTTTGCGAGAAGCCCGAAAGTTAATTCGTTTGGAGAGCACTTGATCCACACCGTCTCAAGTGAAGCCAAAGCCCGTGGAAAAGAACATTGCCGACTCTCGAGCATCGGGCTCTAGCCGTGAGGAGCTCGAAGGTCGCCCGGCGTTTCCAGCCCCCACGAAGCGAAGAATCCACGAGGATGGCGCCCGTGTTCCGGCGCTTGAGGAGCACTTGAGATCCAGCAGCTGCCCGCGATCTCGATCCAAGACTCCAGCATTACCTCGGAACCAAGTAAAATCCTTCCTGTGATAGCGGCGACCGCATATACACGAAGAACCCTAGGCTACTACTAGATTGCGGGAACTTTTGGCCGCACTTGTCCCATATCTTAAACCAGATTGTCCTCCACCAATCCCCCAAAGTTGACACATGTCCAGCCACGAGTGGCCGGATGCCCCTTTAAAAGCAACGTTGGGGCCGGCGTGTAGGGCGCCGGGGTGGGTTGGGTGTCGGGAACACACAACATTGTTCCTGGACATGGAAAGCCCACCAACATTGGGATTGCAGCCTGAGGTGCCCGGGCTGAAATGCTTACTCTCTCCATTGGCGACGCCCCGGGCTCCTCTGTTGTGCACGCTCCGCTGCTACATCACTGCTTTTCTAGCGCCATGATTAGGTCTGTGTGTGTGTTTTGTGTGGCGATGAAGAAAAAGCCCAAGAGGAAGCGCGGCGGCAGCGGCGGCAGCGGCGGCGAGGAGGAGGAGGAGGAGGAGATGGAGTGCGGCATCTGCCTGGAGGAGACGCCCGACGCGGGGCGGGGGAAGCTCGACTGCTGCGACCACTTTTTCTGCTTCCAGTGCATTAGGGCATGGTCCAGTCGGGAGTGCCTTTGCCCCCTTTGCTTGCAGCGCTTCTCCACCATCACGATCACCACGCCCGCGAGCCAATTTGGCGCCGCAAGCCTCAGCGGCAGCGCGACAGCTTCCAAGCAAACATCCAAGCAAACGTCGACGAGGACGATCTTTGTACAGGCATGACATTTATTTCTTGCGTCTCGATTGTTTTCTTCTCCTCCTTGTACAAGAAAGACTTGAACATATAAGATTGCCCGTGACACAAAGTTGACGCTAACAATGCAATCGCTGCTGGTTGCTCGTTGCTCAAGGCTTCAAAACTCTAGCCTAAACATCTCTCTCACTCACTCTTGAGCTTTGATCTCTGCGGCGGAGGAAGCGTTCATGAGCTGCTGCGCCGGTGGATTGACGAGCGTCATTGGCATGGCGACATCGTCCGAGAGGCGGCTGTGCATTTCTCGGTGCTCCTGGCACAAAGCACACCAGTGCATGCAGCAGTGCACCATGCAAGGATCGCAGGGTGAATCCTACACAAACCCAAGCGCATCCCAGACAAGAACCTGAGCCTCCAAACAAAGACTTGGGGGTATTTACCTGGAGGTGGTATTTCTTCTGGAGCTCTTGGCGGAAGAGGCCCGTGTAGATGCCGCACATCCACCAGAGGAAGAGGAGAGCCTCGCCGACGAGGAAGGCGGCCCGGGGGTTGATCCCGTGGAACGCCGCCGTGCCCAGCGCCAGAGCAATCCCGCCCTCGACAAAGATGGCGTGACAAGTGCACGGCGTTGTCCACGGCACGTTGTCTTTCATGCGCTCAACGTTGCGCCCGAAGAGCACGCACGGGCAGAAGAGGCCCAAGCAACCTGCAGCCGCGAAGCTTTCAACAACAAGTCTGATCTGAGATCGAAATCGGAGTGGACGTCCGATGGGATGGATCGGCTTACAAGTGTCTGTGTCGTCGGCGCAGCCGCAGATCCCTGTCGTCCACGGCTCGTTCGCTGGCGGCTCGTAGCTCTCGGGTAGCGGTTGGCCGCATTCGCGGCAACGGTGAACGAGCAGCTGGAAGGAAATCGAACAACCACTTGAGATCTGTGGAAAGACAAGCAGATCTGGAGCTGCAATTCACCTGCGGGACAACAACCGGCTGATTGAGCTCGCCCTCGAGGATCTCTTCCATGGGTCCATCCTGCTCCTTGACCAGCTTCACGTAGCGGGATGCCTGGTTGCTTTCCTCGCTCCCCGCCATTGTGACCTAGAATGGCGAGAGTGGTCGGCCAGGGTTCGATTCCTATTCCTATGCGCGTAAGAATTTCAACTCCGCGTTCGATTCCAGCCATCCTCAAAGGCAAATCGCTAAAGGGGGGAGCAAACCAAAATAATAGATTTTGATCTCATCCGAAACGATGCGTATATATATAATGGACCAACGATTATTGTGGTAGCAATTCGATCACTCGTTGATAGACATGCCGAGTAGCACCCTTGATCTGCTTGGTAGCGGCTTGTTCCTGGGATTCGACTCCTCCACACAGTAAGAAAGCCACTCTTTTGTTTTTGGTTACTATCCATGAAAGAAGCTCCAATCGTTGGATGTGTGGATTTTTTGCAGGTCTCTCAAGGCGACCGCTGTGGATGACAAGCTACGCGTGGTTGCGTCCCAGTGCGTGAATTTCGATTCGGAGCTCCCGCAGTATGGCACCCGGGGAGGCGTGCTTCACCGGGAGAAAGAGGGCAGCATCACCGCCCCGTGTATCATGTGGGTGGAGGCGCTGGAGCTCCTACTGGGTAAGCTCGCGGCGGAGAAGTTCCCCTTCCACAAGGTGGTGGCGCTCTCCGGGAGCGGCCAGCAGCACGGCAGCGTCTACTGGAGAAAGGGCGCGGCCCAGTTGCTGGGCGATTTGGATGTGGCCGGGGATGACGATCTAGCGGCCCAGCTGCGCGATCGTGCCTTCTCCACGCACGACTCGCCCGTGTGGATGGACTCGAGCACCACGCAGCAATGCAGGGCCATCGAGGAGGCGCTGGGTGGCGCCGCCAGTGTGGCGTCGCTCACGGGATCGCGCGCCTACGAGAGGTTTACGGGGCCACAGATACGGAAGCTGTACGAGAGGCAGCCCGAGGTGTACGGTGACACGGAGAGGATATCGCTGGTGAGCTCCTTCATGGCCTCCATCTTCTTGGGTCGCTATGCCAGCATCGACTACAGCGACGCTGCCGGGATGAACCTCATGGACCTCGAGAAACGCTGCTGGTCACACGCAATGCTTGAGGTCTGGTCTTTTGACATCTAGATATCACGTTTTGTGACGAGTCCATTCAGGCAACAGCTCCGGGACTGGAACAACGTCTAGGCCCCCTGGCTGCATCTCACGAGGTGGCCGGGAACATCCATCCCTTTTTCGTGACAAAGTAAGCACAAGTTTCTTAAAACTCGTTTCATGGTGTGTTTGTTTCCAGGTACGGTTTCCCGTCCGAGTGCCTTGTAGTTCACTGGTCTGGTGACAATCCCTGCAGTCTCGCAGGTGAGCGTGGTCGTCCCGGTTTAGGGTGGTAATCCATTTTCGTCCATGAGCAGGCTTAGCATTGGAACATCCCGGTGATATAGCAATCAGCCTTGGTACCAGTGACACGGTATAAGCAGTGGTGTTTCGTCGTGATCTTGCATGTTGAGCTTGTTTTCTTTCAGGTGTTTGGGGTGACGCGGAATCCTCAGCCCGGACTCGAGGGCCATGTCTTCCCAAATCCTGTGGATGTTATGAATTCTTACATGGCCATGTTGTGCTATAAGAATGGCTCGCTCACCCGGGAAGGTAACTTACATGGTCGCTCGCTCTAGATATCAATTGCCTGATCAACGTTATATAGATATGAGAGATCGCTACGCTGGCGGCTCCTGGCAGAAATTCAATCTTCTTTTGCAGCAAAGTCCTCCATTGAATGGTACGTCTGTCGGTGTATCCAGCAACCAGATTCTCGACGACTTGGCTTTTGGCTGCTGTAGAAGGAAAGCTCGTCTTTTTTTACAAGGAGCCGGAGATCTTGCCACCTCTCCCAGGTAACTGGGACTTGTCAACCTCACAACCGATGCCTAACACATAAATACTTCTGCAGCTGGGATGCAACGTTATGTCGTGGATGGCGACAGTGTGTCGGAAGTAGCCGGCGAGTTCTCTCCATCGGAGGAGGTACGCGGTTTGGTTTACCTTCTAGCTTTGTGCCTGTGTGTCGATCGTCGCGAATCAAAAATCTAATCAAAACGCGGTGATTTTCCAGGTGCGAGGTCTGGTGGAGGGCCAGTTTGCGTCAATGCGGGCTCACGCGGAGCGCATTGGCCTGCCCATGCCACCCAACCGGATAATTGCAACGGGTGGAGCATCCGCCAACCAGCAACTGGTGCAGCTCATGGCTAACGTCTTTGCTTGCGATGTCTACCAAGCCCAGCAAACGGGTATGTGTACAAACACCTCTCTCTGTTCCTCTCAGCCACTTATGTTTTGATTTGTGTGCGCAGACTCGGCGTCGGCAGGAGCGGCAATCCGTGCAGCTCAAGGCTGGGCATCGCACCGGCAGCAACGATTCGTTCCTCTCTCGGAGCTCATCCACAATACTGCGGCTGCCCCCAACGACAGCGCTGTGTTCTTGAAGCTGGTTGCGTCCGCACAGAGCTGCGACGATGGCTACGAGCGCATGGCCGCGACGAGGGCCAAGATCGAGCAGCAGCTGCTGCTTGCGAGGCACTCTTGTTAAGCAGCACTGTGCTGTGTTTGCTTGCCACCTTTTGGTAATCTAAGCTCGTGGCGGGCGGGCTGTCCCTGGCCGAGAAAGGCACCACGTAAGTAGCAATCAGGACCATGTAAACTCGGGCTGCTACTGCCTTTGTGTCGCAATCAATTGGCCAAAAGATTGGAATAGATAAATATATTGTTTTCGTATGGTTTGTTGGGCATGTGGTCGTTGTTGAAATGCGGCTTGCAGCTATGGTTGCGTTGCACCTAAAAAAGGCCTAACGATTTTAATCAAAACTATGTCAAGTTCACTTTATAAGGGCCACCCTTTAAATTTTTCCCTACCCGGGGAAGAAATTTAGGCTTTTCCTTTAGATTTGATCTCTCTCTCTCTCTCGCGTCATGGCGATGGAGGAAGGCGGAGGAGGTGGAGGAGCGCATGGCGGCATGATCCGGCTCCAGTGCCAGGTCCAGCACTACGAGTGGGGGCGAATTGGCGAGGAGAGCGAGGTGGGTCGGCTTCACGCGCTCATGACCGGCAGCGCGGTGGACGCGGATGTGCCCTACGCGGAGCTGTGGATGGGAACGCACGCGTCGGGGCCGTCGACGGTGCTGCGCCGGGGTGGTGCCGGCCAAATTCTACTCAAGGATTGGCTCCAGCGCCACCCCGAGGCGCTGGGCGATCGCGTCCTGGAGCGCTGGAATGGAGATTTGCCTTTTCTCTTCAAGGTCGGTGTCTCTCGCTCGCTCGCTCGCTCGCTCACTCGATCTCTTTCTTCGTCCAGGTGTTGTCGGTGGCCAAGGCGCTGTCCATCCAAGCGCACCCAGACAAGAAGCTGGCCGAGTATTTGCATGGCAAGAACCCTCAAGTGTACAAGGATGCAAACCACAAGCCGGAGCTGGCCTTGGCTCTCACGCGCTTCGGTGCCTTGTGTGGATTCGTGACTTCACAGGTAAACGAGCTCGCGAGAAAACTGGAGGAGAATGGATCTCACACACGATCGCCATGCTTTTCAGGAGCTCCAGGCGGCGCTGGAATCCGTCCCCGAGCTGCGCGACGCGTTGGGACCGCTGGTGGTGGAGAGCGTCATTCGTAGCGGCTGCGGCCAGAGCGCCAAGGACGTGTTGCGGAGAGCATTTACGTGCCTCATGACACTGGACGAGAGCGTTGTGACGCACACCCTCTCCAACCTCATTGACCGTCTCAAGCGCAAGTCCAAGGTCCCTCCGGCTCTCTTCGTTTTCGTAGTCGTTGTTTCTCATCGTTTCTTGCTTGCAATCAGGCTGCTGGAGGGCTGAGCCCCAAAGAGGAGCTGGTCGTGAGCCTGGAGAAGCAGTACCCGGGCGACGTCGGTGTCCTGTCCGCCTTCTTTCTAAACTACACCAACTTGGAGGCCGGCCAGGCCGTGTTCCTCGACGCGAACGAGCCACACGCTTACCTCTACGGCGAGTGCGTGGAATGCATGGCCACCTCCGACAACGTGGTCCGGGCCGGCCTGACGCCAAAGTTTCGGGACACGCAAACTCTCTGCTCCATGCTCAGTTACAATCAGGCAAGTAAAACAGTCTCCCCTTTATTTCTTTACTGTTTGAGATATCAGTTTGGTGACGCATCTCTCTCGTAACGTACAGGGTCCGCCACAGATTCTAGACGGTTGCTACGTCAACCCCTTCACCCGACGCTACTCGCCACCATCGGATGAGTTTGAGGTGGACCACATATGCGTTCCGGTGGGTGGCACGGCCAAGATCTCATCACCGTGCGGGCCATCGATCTTTCTCGTCTACAGAGGTATGGGAGTGTTGAGCCGGGTCGGGAAAGAGGACGAGGCCAACAGCATCATCGCGGGGCTGGTGCGGGGGAATATCTTCATGCTCGTCGCTGGCACGGAGCTGGAGGTGTCCGCGGTGATGGACGTGGAGGAAAGCTATGGCGATGGAGAACATCCTGTGCAGGATGCGTTGCAGCTCTACAGGGCCGGGGTGAGCAGTAGGCTTCTTCATCAGGCCGTGTGACGGCCAGTTTTGCTATACATGCGAAGTGTAAATAAGATTTGGGATCAATAGAAGGCTCTTCTAACATACCCAAGCTTAGCGTTTCTGGAAGTTAAATAAGCAAATGCAAACCAAAGACTGTTAGCACAGCCCAGCCAGTCATGCCTGAAGCGGAGGAAAACGTCGACAGGGAGCCATAGCCTTGAGCAGTCATGACTTGCTTCACGTCTCCGAGCTCAGGGTCCAGGCAACTGGACTTATTCGATAGTACCAGCTCCACCAAGAAGGCATGATCTGCGAGAGTTGCAGCGATTTGATTTGATGCAGTACAAGGAAAAAGGACTGGAGAAACTATTACAAATCCCGAAAAGATTCCACCTAGAATAAAATCCAGATGAAAGCACCACAGGTATCTGTTGAGTGGGAGTAAGAGCATGCAGTAAGTGAAGGTCAAGAACATGAAGAAAATGTATGCAAGAGAGTAACGATTGAGTAAGAAAATTAAAAGAAAGAATAACTAGGTAGTTTATCTGGATGACTCCATAGGTAAGATGGGGCCTTCGTATCAACTAGCAGAATAAACATAATGGGAGCATAAGGGAGAGGCGAGTAAATTCCAGCTCCCCGCTCACGATAGAAAACAGTGCGCTCGATAGCCACAACGGGTTGAACGCTGGATGCATTGTTGACACCAAGGAAAAGAATACATAACTCCCATTAGACTGAACAAATTTTGCTGGTTTCCCAAGTGTCAAACTTGTGAAAGCATTGTACCTTTTGCTTCCTACTCCCCAGAAAACTGGAAACCGAAGGGCATTGCAGTTTGGAATACGTCAAGTTCTGCTTCCAAATGCAGTCCTTATAGTGAATCTTGCGAATACTCTATCGGAACTGTAAACCAGATGCGGGCACACTCAATTCTCGTATCAGCCTTTGGATTTCACTACGTCAAAAACAGTATTGCAAGTGAACAAAATACACCTGCGAATAAAACCGAACATGTGCAGATTTGACGCAACATAGATGTCACCAAAATCCTTTTGAAGACGGCTGGACTAGTTACTTCAAGCATCCATGTTACAGGGTTATAGCCATCTTTGATCGCCTATACAAACAATGCCAACGTTAGGCAAAATATCACGGCTCACGTACCATAAAGAAATCAATTAGAAGTTGTGAGTCCTTTCCAAGCGGCCCATGTAGATTATGCGGCACCTCGTTCATCAACAAATCTGAGAAGGCAATTTCCAATGTCAAGTTCAAGGCAGTTTACCTCGTCAAATGCTTCGAAGATGTCTATGCTTGTTGTGCAAACGACAGTTCGTCCAGTATCAACAATATTGCGGACCGTCCTCGTGACTGCGCGAGCATCCAATCCTGGCGTTGGCTCATCCATGAAAATGATTGATGGGTTGGACACGAGTTCCACAGCACCTCTTGTGTTGTTCTACAGTCTGAAAACTTAGATTGACGCGTTCACTTCACTTATACTGCAAAGGTTCGTACACAGTCAGCTGAGGAGAAAATGGACAGTCACCTAATTTTTGCGATAATCTATATATATTTACATATTAACTCCAACCTCAAAGATTCGGGAGTAATCTGTGACCTTCGTGTTTGAGCTACACCACAGGAAAGATGCAGAGGGCGGTTCTGATGGTGTAGCCCATGAGCATTCATGCGCAACGTCCTCTTTGTTCTCATTCTTTTGTCATCATCATTCTTCCTTGTGTATAGTGGACTTTATGGACTTTACATTTGAAGAGCTTCAAAGACTAAGAGTTCTAGCCACCACCAGCAGTGTCACCGGCCTCCTGGTGGTTGGTCTCTCCGTGCATTGGCCCCGCTGAGGCTGGCTCTCTGGGGCACCTGGCCGGTGGGCAAACCACTATCCCCGTGTGCATAGTCACTAGCTAACGCTTCCAGAAAATTTCTAGAAACTGTTGAATGAAAGTTACAACACATTTTCTCGAAATCAAGAGTCCAGTCTTCATCAACATGAAAAAAAACAATCTTTTCTTCTCTCTCTTGTTTTCTTCATTTTGTGCTTGAAACACTGCTGCTGCTTTCTTCTTCCTGATCCGTATTTCTTTCTCTGTTGCTTGCTATGGCAGTGAGCACCTACACGCACAGCTGGAGGTAACATTTTCTTTTCTCTTTCCAGTGTAAAACTCTTCTCTTTCTTCCAGCTACGACAACAGTGCCAGGAGGAGGCTGCTCCAGCAGAAACCGAGGCTGCAGCTAGCGTCTCGTCAGACGTGCCTTGAACCAGTCTCCAAGAATCCAAGATTACGGAGGAGCAAAGGCAAAATTCTATCACCTGACGAAAGATAGAGATTGGTTTCGTGTCAATGGCATTAGAAAACGAAGAAAGTTGACACTACCATGGCCTTGGAGAATAACTGTAATCTATTCATTTATTGCTGCGCTTCTTGGAAGGTTTGGTAGCCTCTTCTTCCTCTTCGGCCTTTTGGTCGGCTTCAAGTCTTGCGAGCTGCAAAGTAAACAATGTTTGTTGTGAGAATTCTTCTCGAGACACCACTTTACCTCGTCCAGGACGGGTTTAAGTTCTCTGTAGCGTGTCTCCGCCAAGTCAAATCCATCCTTCCTGAGCTCCTGATAGATGTAAAGAGCATGAAGAACGAGCGAAAAAAAAACCTGCGTCATCACCTTTCCAGTGTGTTGGGTGTGGTCGTAAGCAGCCATTTGCCAATACATGATCGTCCGGGAGAAAAAATCTCTCAGCGTTTCCCCAGGCTGGAAGACAAATCAATAACAAAACGAGAAGATGGACTACTATCATCACTCACCAAAGGTGTTCGTTGGGAATCAGCTAGGCCCAGCTCGGACCGCATTTGATCGATCTTTAATTTCCGTGCCTTTCGTGTCAGTCTTTTGCCTTCGCCCCTCAGAATAGCAGCTGCCTCTTCAACTCGTTGCGATGACTCCGCTGCATCCTGGAATACAAGAGTAAACATACAAGTTTTGCTATATATCTCTTTTACTACCTCGCCATCGTCCTCCTCGTCGTCTGTTCCATTACTAATCGATCCAGCATCACTGTTGTCATCATCACTTTCACCTTCCTCGTCACTAACTTCAATCCATTCACTTTGTGTTTCCTGCTTGAGACATTAGTAAAAAGCTGCTATATAGCTCGATCACGAAAGTACTGACCTCAATAATGCACTTCCACGCATCGAGTTTATTCAGGTCCAGCGAGAAAAGGTCGTCGAGTGTCACTTCTTTCTCCCCAACTTCTTTCATACCTCCATACAGAAACAAAGTATCCTTTCCAACGACCATTCCAGCATGGATTCTACTGCAAGGCTTAACAACCTTCACATCAAACGCTCAACGTTATATACTTGTGGCGGAAATGAAACGCAAACAAGACCTGGAACTCAGTCGTGGGTTCGTCTTCCAAGGTTGTAGCTTCCATTTGACTCTCAACGCCTTCTCCTTCTACAGACGGATTTTCCACATTTGGATTGACCACTTTCTTCTGCTTTGGATGCATACTTAACGACTAAACAATCTCGGATTGACGTACCTTATTCTTGAGGCTCTTTGGCTTGCGAAGCTCCAAAGGATACCTGCGAAGGTGTTCAGATAAGTTTTTGACAACAAACGAGAGACAAACCATCTGCGATTGTCCATCTGAAAAGCATACATCTCATTCATAAAAACGCTGTGCAGCGAATCACCTGCAAAAGACATAAGTTTTTCTGTTAACCAAGGCATGGATACTAACCTTTATCATCAGTATCAACTACACCACCAAACAAGATGGCTCGTTTCTTGTGGACACACATAGAAAATCCTGCTCTTGGCCCAGGAGCCATACCAGATTTTTTCACCTTCACAAAACACAGCAAAACATAAAAAAATCCACCAAAACGAGAATGTAAATATAGCAAACCTTGTCCCACTCCCAATTCCGTGGATCTAACGTCCACATATCTGCGAGCACTACACCTTTGTCGGATTGATCTTTGTCAGGGGCAGGCTCTTTGAAATAGCCACCGTACAAGAAAATCTGGAAAAGAAAAGATGTTCATAACACGCAAAAATGTGCTTTTTAGTAGACAAATACCTCATCTAAATAAACAGCAAACTGAAAACCACTTCTAGCCGAAGGCCAGGCAGCTCCAAGCTTGGGTTTTATCTCTTGCCACTGCAGAAGAAAATGAATCTAGCTATTAGAAAAGAAAGGAAGGAAGGAAGGTCACGAAAACCAACCTTGTAGTCGTCTAAATCCAGCACGTAAAGATCATTGAAGTACCTGTGTCGAACATTAAAAACTAAACATCTACATTGCTGAAACCACGAACCTTACTTCCCGCAGCGTGTCATAAAATCCACCAAATAGAATAAGTTTATGTTTGTAGAGAACCTGTGCCAAGAAAGAGAGATTACACGGTCTGTTAGAAGCGCAATCCTCACCAATCTATGTCCGGAACGAGCACCTGGGGAGCCTTTTAGTTGAAGCTGCTCCCATACATTTGTGTTTAGGTCCAGTCTCCATAAATCCTACAAGAGATCTCTTGTCGAGAAACGAAGAAAAAAGCAGATAGAAGCCCACCTTATAGTGATGAAATCTCTCCTGATTTGGAGACGTGAATTCACCACCTACACTACAGGTGTCAAGCAAAGCTGTGGAAGATACATACTCTCCTGACATACCAAAAATGAAGAGCCAATTTTTCCATGCAACCGCCTGGTGAGCACTTCTTGGGGGAGGACTGTTTGGACTGGTGACAAGCTTCCAGTCGTTCTTCTCGATATTGTATCGATAGAGATTGCCATAAACGTAAGTCTAGCATAGCAAGCACGAAGATCAAATCAGAAAGAAAAGGAGAAGAGAGAATCATAAACCTTGTCACCGTTATAGAATTCACCTCCATACACGATCAGCTCAGTGTCCTTGACGGGGTTTACAGTCACCTGAAACGCAAAGAAAAGAATTCTCAAAGAATGTGAGCTTCCAGGGTGGAGATTTTGATCAAACTCTTACGCACAGAGCAATTGGATCGTGGTGAAGGCGCTGCTACATTCTCATCGACGTGAACCTCGCTCTTCTTTGCTTCCTCCTTCTGGATTTTAGCCTAACCAAAATGAAAACGATTGAGACCAAATAGCTAGTCGAGAATGCCCTTTGCTTACCAGAATCGCATCAATGTCATCCTCATCCGGAACCTTCTTGTCGTCGCGACGAGCACGCTTCTCTGCCGCCTTAGCCGTCTTGCGCTCGGTCTTCTCCTTCCCCTTTCCCGGCTTCTTCTCTTTCTTCTTCCCCATTTCTTTGGGGAAGAACCCTAAACCCTAGAAATTTCTGCTTCAACGATCAAATTCTTGCGGGAAGTTATAGAAGTACTTACGAATTGGACAAAATGGATTTAGTCCTCTCTATCTTTTCTTCTACTTTGCGCAGTGGACTTTACAATTGAGGAGCTTCAAACGGTAAGAGTTCACCAGTGTTGTGTAGCTTTCGTGATTCTTCGTCCAATAGTGGTTGTTCTTTCCGTAAAATTTGTGAAAGCGTTACGACTGTTTTGCAGGAAAGCTATGCGAAAGTTTTATCTCCATCGCCCTGGAATCGCCATGCAGGGAATGAACAAACACGTACGTGAGAAAACAATCTCTCGCTTTTCTTTTTCCATAAATGATTTCTGCTTGAAACAGGTCATGGAAATCCTACACAGGTGGGGGCCCGATGCCAAGACCACCGAATCAAATCAGATAATGAAGCTCACGGCAATATGTATATGAGCACTTCGTTCTTTTCTCTTTTGCATATGATGTTTAATGGTTTCAGCGAGATGGCCATCACAGGTTACGATCTTCTACAAGCAAACAGATAATCGCTTCTATCCCGAGTTTGATTTTAAGAATTCCCTACTCGGTACTGGAAGCGGTTATTTGGTCGTGTATTCTTTACTACACCGTCGGTCTCACACCAGAGTGGAAGGTGTGGCACATTTGCGTCACGAGCTAAAGTTTTTGTTTCTCATTTTTCGCAGGTTTTTCCGGTTCATGCTGTTGTTACAGATATGGGATTGGGGATGTTTCGGCTGATTGAATCGCTTGCAAGAGATATGGTCGTTGCTGCACTTTTGGTTCCTTTTCTCTTATCATGATTCATCTCCAAAGGTTAAGATGTTTAAGGAGTTGAGTAAGCAGGGTCTGTCTTTGCTTCCCAACGCTCAGAGTGAAGTTCAGCAAAAGCCAACTCAAGCTCATGAGGTGGTGCGAGAATGTTGTAGCCTTCCCAGTAAACGTAGCCCTTTCAAGATTTTGCAATCCTCTCCCTGCATCATCAGTAGCTTTTCAAACCTCTCCGCCTCAATCTCGTGAGTTTCTTGTCCCTGATGAATGCCCTCTGCCACCCTTTGCATCCGACGGCTGGGAAATGCCTAACTTACAAGCGACCAAGTTGACGAATCTGATGTCGATCTGTGGTGACATTGAGAATGTCAATGTGGGCAGCATCAGATGCAATGCCATCACCAGAAGCTCCTCTCCCCGACAACACAGCCTTGTATAAATCCTTATTCCTAGATGCATCTGAATGGTGCCAATTACCTGCTTGACAGAATTACAGGTCCTCCTCCATGGAAGCAGCAATACAGCCCTGGACTCGCGGGGCAGCGTGAAGCTAGAGCAAAAGTAAACGTCTAAAAGTCAGCTCACCAGTCGTGGGAGCACATGCCGCCCCGCATGTAAAAAACCCGAGAGTTGCAAAATCGTATCAGAGAAATCACAAAGAAGTCCTTCACGAAAGTTCATCCCAACAGGAGCGCAGATCCCCACGTACTGAGAAATGTCACTGTCGATCTAGCAACCAAGTGCACTGCATTCAGAAAGTGATGACATTGTCTGTTACGAGTCTGGATACCTGGTTTGTGTCGGCGTCCAGTTCGATCCAAGCGCTGCGGCTTCGCCCACTGATCTCGCGAATGCAGTAGCCGCCACCATCAAAACCATGGACTTGCCATCTCTCAGCGCCTGCCTCGCAGCGGGTTCGCAGGAATAACGTGCCTGTAATTATGGACAGCGCAGCTACAGGTTAAATTACAATCAAAAGAACAAAACCTGGCAAGTGCGAAAAATGTACAGAAAGCGATGGCGAGGGTCGAAACATGCCGCAAATAATTCCGAGTTCGACACTTTCTAGAAAACGCGGAAGGATGACCTTTGTAAGGAATGGAGAGATGCGTCGTCAAATCTTTACCAACTTGATATTATCGGAAGGCTTTTGAATTCTGGAACAGAAATGTACTGATATGGTCTCGACTTATCGGCCAATATTGCCTTTGATCCTTCTTGGAAGTCACCTGTAAAGAAAAAGTCCAGAAAGAAAAAATATCAGATCCGACAGGAGATTTTTTTTTTCACAAATAATAAAACAAATGAGAAAAATTCAAGTCTACGTCTTGAAAAAAATCGGCAACTCTTGGCAATTTGAAGCACGCTTCGAAAAAGTTCAATATCTTTTCCCTCGGCCCGAGATAAACAATAATCCGTTGTCAAAGAGATCATAAAGCAATATTTCGTCAAAGAGGTCATACGTTTCTGGCGAAGGGTGAACAAGTGACATGAGAACTGTGCCGTCGAGAAAATGCACAAAGTTTCGGACGAAGTTGACAATGGTAGAGCTATTGATATCTCGTCCATAAAGAGTGTCTTCTTAACCATTTCACCTGTTAAAGAAAATTGTGTTAGCGGTAAGCTTATCTTGTGACTGTAGTCTACCTGTAGTGACGCGATTTCTTTGACCCCCTGAGACCTCACGAACCATCCCAACGTGTCTGCACAAACTTTCAGCCCACGAACTTTCATTATGTAACCTGTTGACAGACTCCAATGGCCTGGAAGCTAGCTATAATGCCTTGAAAACTCGGCAAGAGAAAGAAGAATAAATACCTTCATAAATGCATCGATCTCAGGGTCCGGGTGGATGTCGAGCTCCTTTTCTTTGCGTGACAACTCGCTCAGCATCTCTGGAATTTTAAAAGGTTATGTTTCATAAACAGTCCAGAGAAATCAAACCAGCTTTGTAGCCCCAGGACGTCCTAACAATAGAGTCATCCCGCACTGGAAACACTCTGTCAGTTTCCAGTTTCTTTAGTCTCCTTAAATCATGTCACCTCCCAGGTCTGATCACTCCTGTGACGTCCTTGACAATTGTGAAATTTTTTTTCTTGCTTGACAACACTTTGCAAGCAACCAAAATATCCCTGTGGGAGAAAGCCGCTTCTGTAAAAGACGATACTAGAGAACTTCGCCCACCTCTGCAAAGTTTCTAACAAAGTTGACAAGACTCGGGCTCTGGAGCCCGCGTACACTGACGCACAGATGCTCGAAACGCACTTCCACCTTGGGAAGCTCAATCCCAACTCTGTCATGCCAGCTACCCCGTTTTCAGTCTGTTTTAAGTAGGAAGAACAAAGCAAGAAAAAAGAGGGGAACTCGACCTGTCAATGCGTTCGCTCGAGCAAGCGAAGATTATCCTGATCGGTGCTAGTGAAAGGCGCGTCGAGGATGCGCTGCCTCTCGAGGCTGCTGAGACACCTGACATCCACCGGGATGTGCTTGTCGTTGTGCTTGAGGAAAGCCATCCGGAGGCGATCGTAGAGGAACTTGTACAATGCGGATCACAGCTGCATTGTCTTCCACGCCGCCGCCAGAGGATCTCCTCGCAAATGGAGATTCTGCGCCTTCCATACCTGGGAAGACGATCGCAGAGTTTCAAAACAATTGAGTATATTCTTATCCAACGGCACTTGTTAAGTCCAAAAATTGCACACACTCCCTCTCTCTCTCCGTTTCTTATCTTTCTTTTCTTCGGGAATATTTGATCGTGTGAGAGGTAAATTACACCTCCAAAAGTTTTCCGAATTGATCACGACTACTCCAGCTTTTATGTACACAAACGCGGCTCAAAACGAGCTCTCTCAGTTGCAACACAAAGGCCCGGAGCCTTGCTCCAAGTGTTGCCACAAACAAATCATTTGCCGGGGGTTTTGATAGTGCGCAATCTTATACCCATCCTTGCAGTTCTCGCTGAGAAAATTGGCGTCGCTGGCGTAGCTTACGTTCTTCTTGCGTACCCGACCATACTCTTCAATCCACGCACCCATTGCAACGTCCTCCAGCTTAAACAGCTGCAGCCAAACACGTTAGCCACTGGAAGAATTAAGTCTCGGCTACCTTGAGGCGCATCTCCTCGTTCCTCTTCACCACAAACCGGGCGATATCACGGGAAAAAATGTAGCCTGGACCGTGAGCCCAAGGAGGATACCGAGGAAGAGGCCACTCCTGACAAAGCGAGTGAGCCTCTTGCAAGAAAACTAGGGAATGAACCCACCTCTTCTGTGATATACCACTTGCTGCGGTAGTCACGGTTGGGTTTCGAGTCCCCTTCGATCAGTCCATACAAAAGAGCCTCGCTTCGGTTGGTCCGCCTAACGGAAGCGTACACTTCGTCCACCCTCACGAACGTGTCATCGTCAGTCTTCATCACGTACCGCGACTTGACAATCTTCGTCTGCAACCACAGGAGAAATTGAGAACAAACGGTAAGCAAGGAAAGAAAAGACACTGCTTACTGCATAGATGCAAATGGCTAGCGTTTTCAGCGTGATGAGGTTGTAGTAATCGATAAATGGTAACAGCTGAATGTCGCCATAAGCCACGGCCTCCTTCCACAGCTCCACATTCACCTGTTGGTTTTGGTCCTACAATGCCACAAGCTTTATCAGGTCGAATCGAAGGAAATGAAAAGCACAAACACCATACCAGTCCCACAAAGAAGCGCACCGCAATCTTACCAGACCTCACAAGCTCGTACTGCATCCAGGATCTCCTCACCGCCATCCTTCTCTCAAAGTTGTTCCCCGTGGAAAACACACCAATGAACATATCCAAGGCCTTGCCTTTGGGGGGCAAAGGCGGCGCTTTCAGGCGGTCCAAGTCTCGGAGCGTGTTTTGATCCTCGGAGGTGGGCAGTCCATTCGCAATGAGCGAGGTGAGAAACAAACTCCCCTCCAGCCGGACACTGCTCACCATCCACGGCTCCAAGTTCTGAAGAAGCACAGGAGAAAAAACTTGAGCTTGAGCATCAAAGCGAGATGAAAGAGCACCTGCCTGCCTATACTCGAACGACGTTACGTGCTTCCCGTCCACAGTTACGTGAAATCCATCCCATCCAGCCCACACCGTCGCAGCAAAAGGATGGCCGTCGGCATAAGGAAACCATGGTTTCTTGCCGTGCTGCTGCGTTATCGCACCAGGCCACTTCGAGGGAGGCGACGACGAAGCGTTTGCGTTTGCAGGCGAGTCTCGAATGCCCACTTGCGGGGCACACATCGCGAGACCATCCACTGCCACGAAAAAAGAGGAGGCAAACGTTAGAGAGAGGGAGAAGACATAAACACTTTGCACGATCGAGGTGGTGGTGGTGGTGGTGGTCAACCGAGAGTTTTAAGTACCTGTCCGGAGATCTTGCTGCGATGCCGGAGGAGGCGGGCATCGTTCCTCGTCCGCCCAGTCCGTGGCCGCAGTCCAAGTGTTTTGTACGATCACAGCTCGGGGAGAGAGCTGATCTCCGCCCAACCGGATGTTGTGATGGAGGATAATTGGCGCCTCGGCCCTCTCACCCGGGAAGCTCTGCCCGACAAGATCAATCCGGAAGTCGCCCATGACGCCGGCGGGCGCTCCGACCAGCGTGATGGACGAGTCCAGCACCAGGCCGCACGGTATGTCCGCCACAACGCGGCCCCCCTTGCTCAAGTCCGTGGCGTTGAGCCAGCTGACCGAGTAGGGGCAGTGGCGCTCCTCGCTGCTCGCCTTCCTGGTGGCGGCGGAGGCGGCGGTGTCCCTCAAAAACTCGAGCAGCTGCTGCCAGGCATTCCACGCGTCCGTCATCTTGGTCCTCGCCTCCGCGAAGAGATCCCGGCGAGCCATCACGGGCTTGAAGAGCTCCCACAGCGCCAGCGGCTGCATGCTGGATGGCGGGATCGACGACACCATAGCCACCAGGAGTTCCGTGGTGTCCACGTCGGTGGTGGCGGCGGCGGTGTCAGCGGGATCGGGAAGAGGGGCGGGAGCCGGCGCTGGGATGAGCTGCTCGAGCGCCGAGGCGGAGGCGGCGGAGGAGGCGGAGGTGGGCGCCATCGCCGCGCGGAGAACTGGCGCTGCCCAAGTCAGTTGCAGGGATCGCAGCGCCGGGCCTTCCACCATGAGCAGCCGGAGCAGCAGAGCTCCACTCACGAAGCTCACAACGGCTGCTATCGAGATCCCTCGGATTGCTCCCGCAATTCTCACGACACTGCTTTGCATCCTCGGATCCTCCTCCCTCCCCGATCTCCTCCCGCGATGATCCCAAGTCCACTCCCAACCTCCGGTCACAAAAGTCGCGATCTTGGGTCAACAACTTGGCTGCCATGGATCCGCCTCCTCCTCCTCCTCCTCCTCGCAAATCCTCCCAATTCTTTCACCATCGATCGCCGACCCCCCTGTGCTAACTTCCAAAGCAACCGCCATTGCTTTTCCCTGTCCACCGTGCTCGCTACGGCGCGCCGCTAGCCATATCCCTGTTTATCCTGCCTGCCTTTATAGCCTAAACTATAGTCCCTCCTCCTCCCTCCTCCTTAGGTAGCTCCGAGAGACGCTAATTTGGTTGCTAAAAGAGAGCTTTTAAAAGGTTTAGGTGATAGATCCACATGAATGAACCTGAGTTTCTTATTACACGCCTCCCCCTCGGGTCTCCTCGTCGTCCGAGTCTCCCTTGTCCCGGAAACGCGGATTCTTTTCCTGTGCATGGACCTCGTGTTAGTATATAACGCAAACCGGCTGGCGCGGAAAAACCAAAGAGTTTTTTTTTTTTTCTACCCGATTGTCCCTGTGACTGTAGCTCTTGACGCCATCCGCCGGCATTCGCTCGTCGTCCCTCCTCCGCTTGCGATCTGGGCATGACAGAGAAACTTAGTGCACCGATGGGAATGTTTGCAAAATGGGGAGCTTACCCCTGTTCCTGACACCACCACCATCTAAGCGAGCACAGGCAATGGAATCACCATCATCATTAGCACCCAGTAGAGCTTCACTTGAAAAGCACGAAAACACTCACAAGGATTCTTCACAATCGTTGACGACGTCGTTGCAAGGCCACCCGCTGAATAGTCGACCAAAGATCTACGACTCTCCAGCTCCTTTTGTACCAGCTTTCCATATCCTCCTCTGCGTGAGCTCGCTAGTTAAGGTCCGCGAATGTATGAGAAAAAATAAACGAGCAATGGAAAAGAAAGAAATGGATATCTGGATCATAGTCTGTGCGGTACTCATCCCGGACCTGCAAGGAAGAAAATGTGGAAGCCACTTAGAGAAGATAGCATCAATCTCTTTTACCTGGCCGCCACTCCTTCCCCTTCCCCACTGTCGCCCATCCTCAAAACCCCAGTCGAAATCCACACGAATCGGCCTGTCGTCGAGAATGGTGCCGCTTATGTACTTGACAGAGTCCTGGGCATCGTCTCGAGTGTAAAATCTGCCAAGAACAAGAACAAGAAGAAGATTCGTCAGTCCATCCAAGAAGAAAGAAGCAGCAAGACGGACATGATGAAGCAAAAACCACACGGCGTCTTGTTGTTCTTGTCCAGGCCCATGACGATCCGCTTGATCTCGCCGCAGCGCGAGAAGAGCTCGTACAGCTGCTCCTCGGTGGTGTAGAAGGAGAGATTTCCCACATAGACCGTGACCGAGGTCTGCAATGCCTCCTCATACTCCACCTGCGTGCCTGCGAATCGCCGATCCTTGTACGCCGATATTTCCTTCTTCTGCGCAGCTCGGGCAATCATCAGCAGCATTTCCATCCATCCAAGCGCCTTACCTTGAACAGGCTCGCCATCGCCCGAGCCCAAAAACCCTAAATGAGGCAAGGGTTATAGACTAAATAACGTTTAGACTTATTTCCAATTAGAGCTAATATAATATACAAAAGAATGAATGACAATAGCCTATTAGCTAGAGGAGCTGGCTGGCTATCTGGTGAGCATCACAAAACTGTCAAAGCCTCTGTGTTGGCCGGCGGTCCTTCGACATGGCCTTACTTTGGAGGAGCTATCCAAAACTCCCCCTCCTCCATCGCCCCCTCCCTCGTCATACTCTTCTTCCTCCAAGATGATCTCTTCCTCCTCTTCCTCCTCCTCCTCCTCCTCTTCTTCCTCCTCCTCCCTGTAATCCATGTCGTCTTCGTGATCCTGGCGAAGACGCTGCCGCTGCCGTCGACCACTGCTGCCACCGTTGCTGCTACAGCGTTTCGTGCTCGTTGCCACCACCCGGCCACCATCGAGCAGGCGGATGTGCTCTTTGGTCTTGCCGACTTTCTTGCACGCCGGGCAGAAGAACTCGCCGCTCGGCCCGAGCTCGTCACGCAGGCAAGCATCACAGTCGCCGTCGTTGCTCTCCGGCTCTGGGAGGTTGATGCAGCTGAAGTGGTACCACTCGCCGCAGCGATCGCACCCGATCATAGCTCGAGCCTCGTCGTAAGGCCTTCGGCAGATGCAATACAGCACGCTCCTTGCTCGCAATGCCTGAAAAGCATTCATTCATCCCGCTTAGAGAACGAAAGAAATTCCATTCTTCATACCGTTAGCTCCTTCGTCACAGTCACACGCAGCCCGTCAGCTTTCGAGATGAGCCTCATCACATCCTCCAGGGGTGTAACTCCACCGTCTTCCACCACCTGTATAGCAACTTAATACTTGAAATTCAGTGGATGCTTCCACAGCTTACCTGTTTAACGCGATTGGCCCAGGCAGACGCCTCTGCTTCTCGGCTTCTTACGTCGAGCAGCAACCCGTCTTCCGTTGGGACGCTCATGGCTACTGCCTGCACAGGCTGCGGGTTACAATCTAATTAAGAACCAGTGACTTACTTCTTCTAAAGCCCGGCAAATGGAACGAAAACAAGGCTTTTCAACGCTGTCCAGCAACTTTTTGGTGCGTATGCGCCAAGCACGCACAGCAACCGCACGCTTCACTTCGGCACTTGCGTCATCGTACACTTGCATCATGCATGCTGCCTGCGACACACTTCCATCAGATCTTGAAAAAGTCGACGAGTCAGGCTTACCTTTAAGGCGGACCGAAGGACTTGAAGATCCACCTCTCGTCTGTCATTGGCTAGCATAGGTGTCACAGTTTTATGTACCCATTCCTGCCACGTAAAGACAGATTCCAAGATACTTTCAACCAAATCCTCCTCTTCCACCCTGTTACGTGCAAAAACCGGGTTGTGGTTACTTTCTAGAAGATAAAAACTATACCTGCAATGTAGTGCTTTAGCTGCATTTGCAAGCTCAACTAGCGAAGACAGTGTAGCCTTTTGTGTTGCACACATCTGAAAGTTGAGAATAAGATTTGGCCAGATCCAATCGGCAGATATACACTACCTTACTGGTCACGTCATCCTTTGAAAATACTGCCCCAGACGATATAGCTGTACAAAACGGACACACGTATTGCCTTTGATTTTGTGTTATTGTTTGAAACTGTGTAACGCCGACGCAACGCGCGTGAAACCTGCTCAACCAGTATGATTAGAATTCTAAACTCTTGAAGCAGTGAAAACTTACCTATCCCTACATTTGTCACAGCTTAAAGAAGTGTTATCAGATTCATCTGCAGCTTCCTGGCATACGCAGGACCCTTTGATCTCTTTGTTGGACAGGCCAACAATCCGAAGAGCGTGATCTGCCGACCTTTTAAGCTGTCAACACAGACATTGCATTAGTACATCCAAACGCCTATATGCAGAACTTCACCTGAAGAAGACCGTCCCTAAGGTTATTATGTGCCGTGCCTACAACTTCCTCGCACCGTACTAACCACGCTCCAACTCCTACTATTTCCGTATCTAACAAGTCTACCTCCATACTTTGAATTATACTCGCTTCCCCTGCTTCCTGAAATAATCAAGAACCGAAGTGAGTAGAAGGGAACCAGGTAAATAACTAGAAAAAATGTTTCCTTAATTTCTTTTACCTGGAGGGAAAGCAGCTCTGGCAAGGAAAGAGTGGAAGTTCCATTAAATACCTTTTGAACTTCCGACTGCCAGGCTCTGATAAACAACAGTTAAGTTTCCGTGAGCTTCACAAATTACAATCAGCGAGATATACCTGTGGTCTTCAAGAACTTGTTGAATTTGAGAAACTTCCGAACGAAAATCAATCTTTAATGCCTGCAAATTGCACATGTGAAACATTGTTAATGTAAATCCGAATAGAAAACCAACCTTCGATTCCAGAAGCAACTGCTCAATTAGAATGGGAGAGACTTTAGTTTCGAAGTCCTCAATCAACGAAGTTACTTTCGAATGCCAGGTCTTGGCACGGTTTTTAGCTCTTTCCAGATACTTAAACACAAAAGAGTCTCGTGTCACCAGAACCATTTTTTTGCCGGTCTCGAGCAGCACTTCAAGAGCCTACAAAACGAGCAATGTATCATTGTAAAACAACAAACGTAGTAGTACCTGTATCGAAGGGCAACGCAAAAGCAGCTCCAGAGCTTTTAGTGTCCACTCTACAGCATCTACCAGATTTCGTACGTCGTCTAACTGTACAAGGACGACATTGTATGGTACACCTTGAGTTGCGATTTCGTGCAAACGGCATAACTGCACGCGAAGTTCCGCCATGTAGGAGGAGACCCGATCATTCGAGTCTAAGTCAACCGAAGTTCCGTTTCCAGTTAACAGCCCCCTCACGGGGTCCTGCACAATGGTTGCTTGATGGCTCCATTCTTCAAGATCTCGAAGGCAAGTTCGGAGGACTTTAAGCTCGGGAAGTAGGATAGGTGAGGAGTCCATCTCAGAGACTAGCTCCTGGAATAATAAAGAGTAAGTAGATGATAAACATGATAAGAGTATGCATGTACCTTTAGCGTACCGAGTTCGATGAGTTTCACAGTTTTCATAGAATCTTTCGTGCAAAGGTCTGCTAAATTGGATGCGCGGGGCAACCAAGAATCTGCTCGGTTGACTACATTCTTCACATCGGGAAGGCACGCTAAAGCTACATTTATAGTTTCGGATTCACTGCAAAACGAAGTGTCAATATAGCAGAAAGCCATAACAAGAAGGGCTCACCTAACAAGCTCAAGGAACACATCGTAAGTTGCACCCAGCCCCAGCGCTTCCCGGGCTTTTCCTTCCCAAGATAATGCTGCTCCCGTAATGCTGCGAACTTCTAAAAACAAGTCTTCATTCCTGGCACATGTATATGAAGCCAAAGCGTAAGAAATGTAAACAAAACGCATTAATGGTTTACCCATTCGCTTCTTCCGAAAGCTCGACCAGGACACTAGTCGGAGATCGGCAGCTTAAAGCCTACAAAGAGAAAACTGTCAGGGACGTCCAAGGAAAGAAAAAAAAAATTACGTTAGATGCTTTCTCCATCCAGGAAAATCTCTTTAGCTCCATTTTCACCGTGCTCAGTTCGTCCACTGGAAGAGTAAGTATAAGAGCTTTATAACAAAGACGAAGACAAAAACAAACCCTGAGCTCGCAAGGACTCGCTAGCTTCAACCAAATCCTTCAGAACTACGACTACAGAACCGTAGTCCCTTTGATCATGAAGTGTTTTTAGCGCGACTTGAGCGCGTTCAGACCAGGATCGAGCTTCCAAAAGATAATTACTGAGTATGTCAACTTGAGGTAGTCTAACTGGTAATCCACTTGCTTCGGACAGAATTTCTTCAAGCTCCTATTTAGAAAGCTCAAATCAGAGAAAGCAAACATAAAGTAGCACCACAAACCTGAACAGGTGGATTGCATTCGAGCAACTCACTTGCATGTTGTTGCCAGCTTTCCGCCTTCTTAACCACCACGTCCAACAAACGCTTCTCGGGAACCATCACGGACAACTTTAAACCCTGCGTGCTGGTGATTACAATCGTGAACTCAAGAGAAAACATTGATACCTCAGATTGCAACTCAAGCAATTGACTTAAATCGGCTAGTTCTCGCTTCTGGCTTTCTTTTCCCGTAGAAAGGAGTCTCTGAACTCTCTCAGACCATAACTGAAGCACAAAACACAAAATGTCAAATCCAGCAGACAATCTACTGTCTGACCTGAGCAGTGGTAAGGATTTCCTGCATCTTCTGCGCCTCGGGAAAGTCGAAGGGCAGACGAAGAATTTCATGCTGAAGCTTCTGCAGCGATCGGACCTGTAACGGGAATGTTAAATGCTAGAAAAACACATAGACATTTGTCTAGTCACCCACGTCTGGCGAGGAAGACAACAAACGGATCCCAATTTGCTTTTGTAAGTTACATCCATCCCGCACAAAAGGCTGCACATACGTACATTTTTAGTTTGCCGAGTTGAAAGAAGGCGTACCTTGAGCTTTGAGGCATATGGTTCGACACAGGGTAAAGGATCTGCTGCCACCAAATCGCTCACCCGGGACAGCAGGACTCGAGCACTTTTGCTATCGTGAAGCCTCTCTTGCACAGCATTATAACATGCGGCAACGTCTTTTGCCCAGTTATACCTGAAAGCCAAAGTACTTTCCAGTCGGCGAACCTCGTCCATCTCATGCCCTGCCCACAAGAACTGCTCCGCTTGCCGCAGTAAATCCTCGACATCAGCTAACAAAGGGACCTTCGAGTTGGCAGAAGCAGCTCGGGAGATCCAATTGCTCGCAAGTTGCATCAAGGAAATATCATTCCTCTTGAGCTATAAAAACAAGTCAATGCACAAGCTCGAATGCCAGCCTTCTTGTACCTCTTTGCACTGGAGAATGTCGGTTTTATTGTCTTCCTTCACGTGGCAAATTTCTGATCCTATGTCGTCGAGCTCGGCCAAAGAAAGCCTATAAAGGAGGCACTTTTTGTCAGCGCTGCATTCGCAGAGTTGCTCCGCGTGCTGAAGCAAAAAACCAGAAATATTAGCTTTTGAGTGCTAAAAGTCCGTATTACTTACCTCCAGGCATACGGCATTTCCAGGACGACAAGAGCACACCACAGCCGAGAGATGTAAATAATAACGACATATGATGCATTCGGCATCCTGCACATCAAAATATAAGAAAGAGTCAAATATATTTCAGTGAACCAGACCTCTTCTTTGCCAACATTAGTGTACGCACGCGGTTGCATACGCGAACTTTTCACCATTCCACGTTGCCAAAGCTCTTCTCTTAGCTTGCGCTCTAAGGAAGTTATGCGTATCAATTCATTTTGCATCCAGGAGCAACCTTTTCCGGCCCCTTCGTTCTAGGACACAAACATTTAGGCTTCTATAGAACGCAAATAAAAACGCACTCACCTTGGCAACGACACAAAGGAGCTCCTCGTGTGAAAGAACAGCAGCTTTGTGAAAGAACCTATAGCGCTCGATGCTAAATCTTCCAAACGGAATCCAGTCCAGCGGAGCAAAATTGACAGCTTCTGCGCAATTGAATCCTGTAACGAAGGAGAAAGTCAGTACTACTTCTAGCAACAACAGTCTCACCATGATTAAATCCTCCGTGATAAGACCGTGGAAAGGTGATGACAAAATTTCCAGGCTCCTAAAACCAAGAAGGAATAAGAAAAAAGCCACTGGAAACACTAGCTTACCTGCAAAGTTGTGCACACAGGCACGCCTTTATCCCGCAAAACTGCTGGATTTAGCATCGTAACCAGTTGAAAGAGCAAGTCCGGCTGTGCATGAAATAAATCTGGGAACGTCGACCGCATAACCTGTGCAAGTGAAGAAAACGTTAATCTGCACAATCACACCCAAAAGGAAGACTCTACCTCTTCAAACGCGTCGTAAGCACTGCCAGGTACACTATACCAGCATTTAGGCTCTCCCCTGCAGGGAAGTAATCAGTACCCAGAGAACACAAAACGAGTTAGCATACCAGTGGAGGTAATTCACAGAGTAGAAACAATGATCTTCGTAATGCCAGCAGAACGAGGAGAAGAGCATTCCCACGTACAGCCATGGTACAATAACTCCTGGTATGTTCTCATTTACCAGCCGGAGCATTGATCCATTAAGCTTAGGAAAGTTATTTAGATTCCACGGGCTGTTTGCGTGCGCTTCCCACGAATCCTGCTTAGCCCACTTCGGAACAGCATCATTCGGACGAGGAAACCCACTTCCATACACAGACGTATCGAGGTCGCTTCCATAGAGCACTTCAACAGGTCCTGTGGATCTTTCGACTATCTCCCAGAACTGCTCTTCCACATCAGAGTAAGTCACGGGACGCCCGCCAAACCACTTCTTCTTGAACCGGTCACACATCCGTCGGAAAGAGTCCAGGGTGTGCCGATTGCCTTGAGAGAAGCCGAATGTTTCCTGTTCGGACGAAACGCAGTCGAGGCAGTACCACCTTCCAGAGGGCATTTCCGAGAGAGGAGGGGAGAGGCAATACATATGCCACGCTCGATCACAGAGGTCACAGTTGAGCATAAGCTGCTCATGCGCTCCGCTACGGCATTGCTCGCAAGACTGGTCCCCAAGCCTTTGCTGCATCGAGGCTTCATCTTCCGATTTAGTTCGCTTTGGCGGCTCCACCGAAGCACTCACTTCATCTTCAGCCAGCGACCTCTTCCTACCAATCTTCACGTCCACTGCATCACCAGTCCCGACGTTACCACTTGCTTCGGGCACTGCTTGTGGTGGCTGTTTCGCCAAGCCTTCTGCACGATGGCGCTCATATTCCAGCAGATGTTTCTCGTAAAGGTGGCACAGGTTCGCAGGAGCAGCAGTAGAAAACGAGGCGGGACTTACGTCCGGCTTCACCATCCGCAGCACTTCCCCCCACTTCCGCTGCTCCATAACCTTCTCATAGCCTCCATACCGCTTGACGCAGTTGTAAGCCTTACAGAGGTCAAGCTCTTCCCCGCAAAACTGAGGCCAGCTCTCGAGAACTCGCCCCTGTGACTCGAGAAACCTGTCGAACTCGAAGCGAAAGGTGTCTGGATTTAAGGCCGCCGACCTCTCTTGGAGCTGATGTATAGCCTGAAGCTTGGTCGGAAAGGAGAAGGACTGGAGATCTAGCGCAAACGGAGGATCCCAAAACTTTGGAGGAACTATCCTGCACAGGCCGTATGGCTCCGCCAAGTGACGAATCTGTGCGATGTACTCGAGAGGATCGCTAAACTCCTCCTCCGTCGGGTAAAACACCGGAGCCTCGGGGAGCCCAAGCCCAGAGCAGCCTTCTTTCTTGTTGTAACTCCTAGGAAACTCTTTTCTCCCTCTAGCCATAAAAGAAACCTCTACACACCGCTAAACGAGCCCAAATCCCTGCGTCAATCCCCTTCCTACCCTGAGATTTGCGAGGCTGGACCTCCCAGATCCATAGCTCTCGCTAGCTGCCGATTAAACCTCACAATCCTGCACCCATTCTCATCCAGCGGCGGAGAGATTTCTAAGCGAACTCCCGGCCGATCATCCCAGGGATCTAGAATCCACCTCTACTTCCTGCTGCCACCGACTTACCGGCGAATCGAATCGAGGCCTAGCACGATCACCGCGAGCTGATGCGCCGCATCCGGCCCCTGTCGAGCAGAACGGGAAACCCTAAGGTCGAAAGTCTCCACACAAAAAAAATTAAAATAAAAATCTAAGAAGAGGGGACGTCTATGATTCCAGAGAAGATACCGTCCACCGCTATGAAAGTCAATCACCCATTGACTGTGGTCAATCACACACTTGTTTGACTGTCCTCTCTTTTCTGTGAGGAGGAAAGAAAGCTTTGCAGCCACTGACGATGGCGAGCATCATCGCTACCACTTTGGATCAAGTTTACGAGCATGCTGGCGATGCCTGGAGTCGGAACAAAGCCGCGATGGAGCATTTCGTCCACGATTCGACACGCTAGCTCGATGTTTCGCTGCTTGCAGCACTGGCGGACGAGAAGAGCGTGAGTCACAGCGTCGGGCCAGCATTCTCTCCTCTCTCGCATCTCTCCCCAAAACTTCGCCACCGCCTCCTCCAATCTACCATCGCAGCACAAGCATCCCAGCAGCGCGTTGAACGACAGAGTGTCTGGAGCACACCCGCTGTGGAGAAGCTCGCCGAAAACTCGGTAGCCATCGGCCGATCGCGCTCGCCCAGCTCCAAAGTAGCCGTCGAGCAGCGTGTTGTAAGTCACCAGGTCGCATTCAATCCCTGCCACCTTCATGCTCCGGTGAACCTTTCCCGCGGCTTCCATCTCCCCGGACTTTGCCAAGGCATTGAACACCATGTTGAAAGGGAGCGTCGGCCACGAGCACCCCTTGTTCTTGGTCATCTGCTCGACGAGCTCGAGAGCTTCGTGTATCCGCCGCTGCTTGCACGACTCGGAGACGAGGATGGTAAACGTCACCGAGTCGGGATGGCAACCAAACCGGCTCATTTCTTGGAAGAGCTGCTTGCTTGCCTCAAACCGTCCGAGCTTGGCAAACTTGTCGATCACCACATTGTACATGAAGACGGTTGCCTGGCGTGCCGAGGCCGAGTCCCGGACAAGTGTCACGGCCCTGTCCACCTCTCCAGCTTTGCACAGTCCAGTGACCACCGTGTTGAGCGTCACACTGCAGCGGCACCGCCCCAGCCTCGCCATCTCCTTGAACAGCGACAAGGCTCCCTTGCTGTCCCCGGCCTTGAAGTGGCCATCGATGATCGTGTTGAAAGTGAACTCGTCCGGAGCGACGCCACACTCGTCTTCCATCCGCCTCACCAACGCGTCCGCCTCGCCAACTTTGTTTGCCTTGCACAACCCGTGGATCATGATGTTGAAAGTTCGCAAGTTTGGCTTGCTCCACCTCTGGCCGCCGCTCAGCATCCTCTCGAACAGCCTTGACGCATCGTCGACCCTTCCTTCCTTCAGGTGGCCGCTTATCAGTGCCGTGAGAAGTACAACGTCTGGGACACATCCGACCCTGTCCATGACCTCGAGCACACTCTCGGCCTCGAGGGCCCGCTTGGCTTTGCACAAACCGTGCACGAGAAGCCCGAAAGTCAACTCGTTTGGTGAGCACTGGAGCCACACCATCTCGTCCACAATGTCCAGAGCTTCCTTGAACTTCCCAGCTTTGGACAGGGACTGGATCACGGTGTTGAAAGTGAAGATGTCCGGGACGCGCTTCTTGACTTTCATCTCTCGAAACAGCTCCACTGCCGCTTCGTTTCTGCCCCGCTTCACGCAAGCAGCGATGACAATGTTGTAGGACATGGAGCTGGGCAGCTTCATCTTTCGAAACACCGCCATGGCGTGGTCGTATTTTCCGACCTTGCACAGGCCACCAATGAGAGCCTCATAGAGTAGCTCGTGCCGCACCGGTGCTTCTCGGTCTCGCAGTGCCGCCGAGAGCTTCTGGCAAGCCTCTTGAATCCTCCCGCCCTTGCAAAGCCCGTGGAGAAGAATGTTGTACGTAAAAGCGTCGGCCTTAACGAAGCTCCGGCTCATCTTCTCGTACAGCTTCATGGCGTGCTCCACCTTGTTCACCTTGAACAGGCCGTCGAGGAGGCTGTTGCACGTCACAGTGTCGGGGTAAGGCCCTTTGTCCATCATGCCATGGACGAGCTCCGCCGCATCGTCCACGAGACCACCCTTGCACAGCGAGTCCACCACGATGTTGCAAGTCTTGACATCCAGGCATGCGATGCTTTGCATTGTCTTGAAAAGCTCCAGAGCTCGCTCCATGCTTCCCGCTCGGCAATGTGCCAGCACGAGGATCCGGTAGCTAATGTCGTCGGGATTGCATCCTTTGGCCCTCACGGTCTGGAAGAACTCGTAAGCGTCGTCGCATTTGCCAGCCAGCCGGAAGCCATTCAGGATAGAGTTGCAAGTCACCAGGTCCGAGTAGAAGCTACCGTCGGTGATGATATGCGCCACCCTGCAAACCTGGTCGGCGGTGGCGGCCCGGCACACGAACTCGAGCAGCGGGCGATTGAGGCCGAAGGAAGGAACTCTTCCAATCTCTATAGCGCTCTGGAAGAGCTCGAAGGCCTTGGTGGGAGCTGCAGCAGCCATGAGGAGCCGGAAGGTGCCATCTTCTGGATAGCAGCTGTGGAGCATCATGAAGTGTAGAACTTGGCTTGCGAGCGCATACTCGTCGGCTTCGAGCAGCAATCCAAGGAAAGCGTTGCAAAGAGTGATGTTGGGCTTGAAAACTCTGGCCAGCCTCGTGAAAGCTTCCATAGCCCGCGCAGCGCTTCCAGCCCCCATGTAAGCGCGAAGCAAAGAATCCACGAGACTGGAGCCCGTGTTCCGGCACTTGAGGATCACTTGATCCAGCAGCCAATCCAGCAGCTGCCCGCGATCTCGATCAAGAGCCAAGACCTCCAGCATTGCCTCATAGGCGGCTGGCTCGTGCTGGAACCTCTCTTGCCGCTGTGCCCACTGGAAGAAGCAAGACAAGAGTCCCACATCGGTCGATCGCTGGAGCACCGAAGCCACTAGCTGAGGCCGCAAGTCGAGATTGAGGGACTTGAGCTCCGATCGCCATGCCGGGGATAATCCGCCGCCACGGAAGAGAATGGAGCATACCTTGTCAATCTCATCCGTATCCTCCCTGTGATCCTGCGCGGCAGCGGGAGAGGAGCAGCACAAGGATCGCAGGCCGCATTGCCGCGGCTGGATCAGAATCGGCGTCGTCGTCCTCCACCGCCATAACAGACGACGCATCCATACACGAAGAACCCTAGGCTACTGGTGCCCTAGATTGTTAGCGAGAGGAGATTCATGGGAATTTTTGGGCGCGCCTTCCAGTACGTCTTGAATGAGCTCCTGGTAGAGCGGCTGTCCAATAGGTAAGGATCGATTGGAAGCTCGAGCTCGCTAAATCTCCCTTGCCCCATTCATCAGCGTCGCGTTCCAGAGATTTGCCGTGCGATCGTCCAAAGCCATGGAAGAATTGGCACAGAAAGGTCAAGCTCTAGCTAGCCTTGGTAGTATCCTCGCTCACAACCGAATTTTTCGCAGGCGCCCAAGGCAAAGACGCCATAGCTGAGAACTTGCGGAGCATAAAAAACGAGGTTTGCGAGCACAATGTGTCAAGGCATCGTTTTGATTCGCATTCTTGTTCTTCCAGGTGGAGAGAAGCCTCAAAGACAACGCAAGATAAGCTCTTGTTCTTCCAGGTGGAGAGATAAGCTAGGAGAGGAGAGTGTAAAAACCCTTCCACATCGAATAGAAAGAACGCTCTTTCATGGCCACCGTGCTGGTGGATGCTCTCAAGAAGTGTGCCGATGTGGGCGAGTGCCGGAGAATCCACGCCTTGGCGGTGGAATCAGGGCAGGAATCCAATACGTTCGTGGCGAGCACGCTAGCGGTGGCGTATGCGCGGTGCGCGAGGATGGACAATGCGCGCAGGGTGTTTGAGGGAATGCCGCCCTCTCGGTCTAATCTGGTGCCTTGGACGGCGCTGGTACTGGGCCACGCGCAGGCGGGCGAGGGCGATTTGGCGCTGGAGCTCTTCCAGGCCATGCTCGCCGAGGGCTGCCGCCCGGATTCGCGAGCGATGGTGGCGGCGCTCAAGGCTTGCGCGAGCTGCGCGAGTAGAGAGCGCGGTATCAAGACGAAGCTGGAGGTGCTGGAGAAGGGCATGGCGATCCACGCGCACTGGGAGGAGTTCCATCCCTGGAATGTGTTCGTGGCGACGTGCTTGGTGGATTTGTATGCCAAGTGTGGGAGCACGGCCGATGCGACCAGAGTTTTCGAGGTGATGCCATCGCCCTCGCGCACGGTCGTGTCGTGGACGGCATTGATCACGGGCTACGCGGACAATGGCCAGCCTATGGCAGCGCTGGAGCTCTTCCAGCGGATGCTACACTCCAGTTGCGCTCCAAACGAGCTCACATTCGCGGCCGCGCTCAAGGCTTGCTCGTGTTGGCATGGCGATTGGAATTGGAAGTTGGAAACCGGCATGGCGATCCACAGCCTCGCTCGAGCTCGCGGCTGCGACACTCACGCCGGCGTCGCCGCCACCCTTGTCAAGCTCTACGCGACGTGTGGTAGAGTCTGTGAAGCCTACCACGCGCACAGCCATGGCGGCGCCGCCACCCCCGCATCGTGGACTGCGCTGGTGCGTGGTTGCGTGGACAGCGGCCACTGGGAACTTGCTCTAGACTTCTTCGTTGATTCGATGCATCGTGCTCAAACACTCACTGGGGCGATCGTCGTCGCGGCGTTGCTAGCATGCTCGGCCATCGCGGCCCAAGAACAAGGCGTCGCCACCATTGGAGATGGAAGTAGCGTGAAAATGGTGTCGCTGGAGAGAGGAATGGCGATCCATGCTGCTGCTGCCGCGGCTCCTAGATTCGAGCGGGACATATACGTGGACAACAGCTTGATCGAGATGTATGTCAAATGCGGGAGCTTGGCCGACGCTCTTGCGGTCTATACCCGGATGAAAGCTCGCGACTCCGTGACGCTCACTTGCCTTGTTCTTGGCTGTGTGGAGAATGCCCAAGGAGAGCTCGCCATGGAGGTCTTGAGGAGCCAACTTCGGGATCTAGGAAGGCCAGACGCCCAAACTTTGGTGGCGGTACTCAAGGCTTGCGGGAGTGTGGGAGCTTTGAAAGACGGAAAGGCCATCCACGGCGAGCTGTGCCGGTCTGGATGGGAGGCGAGCACGCCGGCGCTGGTGACTTGCTTGGTGAGTTTCTACGCGGGGTGTGGAGGATCCGGCATGGCCGACGCACAGCTCGTGTTTGATTCCGGAACTCGGCCGGGGCTCATCACTTGGAACGCTCTCATCGCCGGCTATGGCTGCCAAGGCGAGGCGGTGCGAGGCTTGGAAATGTTTTGGTTGATGGTGGAGCAAGGAGTTGTGCCGGATGGTGCCACCTTCGTTTCACTGCTGGCAGCGTGTAACCATGCCGGCCTTGTGGACGAGTGTGATCGGCTATGGAGTGTGATGGTATTCCGGTTTGGAATCCGGCCAAGCATGAACCACTACCAGTGCGTGACAAACGCTCTCAATCGGGCAAGCAAAGCCACGTAGGTGGCGCAGAAAAGGTATGCTTGTGTTTATAAACAGGATTTTATTTCTCTACATTAGGGTTAGGGGATGCAACGACGAGACAATGATCCGCTTGGCATGTTCAAGAATTGGAAGCCAGATCGAGTCCACAAAGCGGTGATGGAGAATTCCAGGATCAGGGTGGGTGCCGCAGCGACTCAAGGTGCAAAACGTCGAATGGAAGATGTTTACACTGTGATCCCCGACCTGGACGCCAAGAGCTCCTTCGTTGCGGTCTATGATGGCCACGGCGGCTGCGCGGCGGCGCGCTTCTGCGCCCAGAATCTCCACAGGCACCTCGTCGCCAATCCACACTACCAAAAGGGCGACTTTGCTTCTGGATTCCGCCAGGTTTTCCTCGAGATGGACGAGAAGATGCAAACCAAGGCAGGAATCCAGGAGCTGGAGAGGCTCGAGCGCGAAAACACATCACCTTTGTATTCCTGGAACAGTATCACGGGAACATCGCCTGGGTCTCACGGGACGACCGCAGTGGCCGTCTTGATCCGCGATGACAAGCTCGTTATCGCTCACGCCGGCGATAGCTATTGCATGATCTGGCGAGACAACAAGGCGGTGCCAGTGACGATCGATCACAATGTCCAGTCGCGGCCGGACGATGCCGAGCGCGCGAGCAAGGCTGGTGCGGTCGTCATGAAGAACAAGTGGATCCAGCTGAATGGTGTGAGCGTCGGGGGCGAGGTCGGCGCCATTGGACTCCAGGTGACGCGATCTCTGGGGGATTTTCGATGGAAGAGCAACGCTGGTTTGGGACGAGACGAGCAGGCGGTAGTGGCTCTGCCCGACATTGTGGAAATTGATCTCCGGGATGGGGGCTGCGAGTTTTTGGTGCTAGCGTCGGATGGTGTGCCCCGGGATTGCGTCGAGAGCATTTGTCCCAGTGTCCACGATTGGCTGGTTGAGCAAGAAGAATCTAGGCACGGTGGTGATGGGCAGGCTATGCAGCTCGCTTTCTTTTGTGATAGCATGCAAGCCATGAGTGTCGAAGACAATAAGACGGTGGTCGTGGTGCAGCTCAAGCGTCCTCACGGCTAGATTTCATCGTGTTTAAAGATTCTAACTGGGGTTTTGCATTAAATATAATTACGTAATATTGATTTTATTTTTTTTAAATTTAAAATTGTGAGGAATAGAAATATGGCTATGATGCCATATATAATTAAACCTTTATTTTGTTAAGCCACTATATATTGATTTCAAAACATAAAATATATAAAAAGGAGGCACAATATAAAATAATATACTAAAAAATGTATTTTTTTTTCCAATTGTAAGTGCTAAAGATATAGGAATAGGTATATTAATTAGGGTTTAAACCTATACTTATATACAAAAATGAATGAACTAGATTCAATCTCAAATAAACGGTTCATATGCTATAGTATTATAATTAGTGCACTACCTATACATGTAATATATGTATATTTACAAACTTTATACCATCCTCCCCTCTAAGAAATGATAATAAGTCAAGTGGAATATTTAGAGCTTCCACTAGGCAATGATAAACTATTATAAGAATCTGAAGCTCCTATAAAACCACCAATAATGTTATTGACAACTATCATTAAACAAAACCTAAAGCCATAGTATAATCATTAGTCAACTACATAATCTTGATGCACCACTTGCAACTCTGTATATAGTTGCCTCTTTGTTGACTTCTCTTTTTATGTCCCTACAAACAAAGGTGTATTACACTTTTGTAAATTGAGTGACAACCAAAGTAAAACAAATGGCTAACTCTATTAATCATTTCTTTGTCGGCAACAACTGGAAGGTGTTTGAGTTGGTACTGCATCCATATTAGATAAAAAGGTTACCTTTACTTATTTAAGTTAGTGCATTTCTCATATAATATGAATACTATGAACTTTTTCTAAAGTTGTTTTTTTAGTGGTGCTATAGACAGGAGTATGCATTGATAAAGACGTTGATCTTCCCTAAGGGAGGGGGGGGGGGAGGGGGGGCAATGCTGTAAATGTGACTTCGGGTCTTATGGTCTCCACACAAGCTAGTTGAGAAACTAGTTAGAACATGTTAGACCGGAAGGGCATTAAGGAAGGAAATTTTAAGTTGTCATTAAGTCAAACATATTTGATATAATGACAAAAAACTCATGTTGTTGGCTTGCACTTGCTAGTGTTGAAAACCCTTACAATATTAAAATTAGTCCCTCAATATTCGCTATATGATAGTTTACCGTATTTGCTAAACATCCTCATTATCATGCTATTTGTATTAATCTCATTTCAGTCCCAAATACTATTTATGGAAAATATCCACATTTGCTCATTTGGCATATCTATAGAATGTAGAAATTGTCTTGAACACAATAGTATTCATCCTGTGTCCAAATTTGCAAGGCATAATCTAATTCTTGGGGGGTGGACTGTAGAGGATTCTAAATGTATAGTAGGATAGTAGGGATAGTGGGTAGGTCAAACATGGCTAACTAAACTAAGGCATAATCTAATTCTCACTTGCGTGCACGCCTTTGTTCTGCATCTAGCTTGGGTCTAAGCCCAAGTTTTATATATAAGCCTTTGTTCTGCATCTAGCTTGGGTCTAAGCCCAAGTTTTATATATAAGCTTCTGAGTATGGACTTCCTAGGAGGTCACCCAGCCTAGTACTATTCAAATCCAAGGACACTTAACCCCAAGTATCCCAAGACCCTTAACCGATTCAAAAAGGGGGTGCACTTTTGTTCATGGGCCCTTTCTCTCTATATTTGAACCCCATAGATCATCTCTCAAGTCATTCCTTTTGGTTGCTTACAATCCATCACGCTTCTCTACAAGTTCACGCCCTCGTGAATGGAAGCTAAGAGCCGCAGCTCTCTTGACACCCTACCCCTTGGGTCGAGCCACGCGGGAGCAAATTGGACTAGCCAGATGTCAATCAACATGTGGTGTGATTCCTCTAGCAAACCAACAGAGTCGAACCTGAGACCTCTCTGATACCAAATGTAAGAAATGTAAGCTCCTAAATTTGGACTTCCCAGGTCACCCAGCCCATTACTATTCAAACCCAAGGATGCTTAACCCTAAATATCCCAAGACCCTTAACCAATTGGTGCACTTTTATTCATGGGCCTTTTCCCTTTATATTTCAACCCCATGGACCGTCTCTCAAGTCGTTCTTGTAGCACATGTGGTTTTTACCCTTTATCTTATGGTGATTTACCATAGAATAACACTACGAAGCGGAACCTAAACCCTCTTTGTGCCATGTGATAGATGCCACATGTCACATGCCACGCATCCAAAGGAACGTGGTGTGGAACCCTCAGTTCAGGGCCTTGGGCCACTGAATGAAAGAACGGTGCCAAACTCCCAAGCATGGAGCCAAGGAGTGACGGAACCGAACCATGGAGCAACTCCCAAGCATACAGCCTTGTAAGGAATCGACTCCCCGAGATGTCATAGGCTAAAGGATCCCCGAAAGCTTGACCGAAATGACAAAGAGTTCATCGGATGGGACCGAGTCGAAGATCGAGTCCAAGACCGACTCTGAGACCGAGTTCGAGATAGAGTCCAGGATCGAGTCGAGGCCGAATTGGAGACCGAGATCGAGACCGAGTTCGAGACGGAGTCCGAGATCCAAATCGGGTCCGAGACCGAGTCCGAAGCTGAGTTCGAGATCGGGTCCGAGATCGAGTCCGAGATCGAGTCCAAGACCGAATCCGAAGTCGGGTCCGAGATCGAGTCCGAGATCGAATCTGAGACTAAGTCCAAATACTAATACGGGTCAAGGGGTGAAAGCCCAAAGCGTGTGTCTCCCAGGGGGGGGGGGGGGCTGCAGGGGGTTCCAAAAGTATAGTAGGGATAGTGAGGTCCAGGAACCAGTCTTGAAGGAACTCTCCAGTGGTACTTCCAAACTGACTTGAGGTTGAGACTGGGGCCGAGGGGCCTTGGGTGGGAGTGAGCATGGGCTTGGGTGGTGCCGGAGGGGCCACCCAGGGAAGTGCTCAAGAGCAGCTCCCGCTCCCGAAAGGGAAACCATCTGCGGTGCTCTCGGCTCATGTGGAGTGGTGCCCCACCTGAGTACCTTATGGCTCATTAGTCCTCGCCCTTCCTAGGGGCTTGGGCCTTCCCTTCGGGATGGAAGTGGGGGGGTAGAGGTACCCATACCGGGCTGTTAGGCCACGGTGTTTCACCCCAATGTCTCGAAGCAAGTTGTAAGCAACCAAAGGGAATGACTCGAAAGACGATCCATGGGGTTTAAATATAGAGGGAAAGGGCCCATGAACAAAAGTGCACCCACTTTTCCAATCGGTTAAGGGTCTTAGGATATTTGGAGTTAAGCGTCCTTGGGTTTGAATAGTACTGGGTTGGGTGACCTCCCGGGAAGTCCAAACTCAGGAGCTTACATTTGGTATCGGAGCGGTCTCGGGTCCGACTTTGTTGGTTGGTTAGGGGAATCACACCACATATTGATTGACATCTAGCTGGTCCAGTTTTCTCCCACTGGGCTTGACCCGAGGGGTAGGGTGTCAAGAGAGCGAGGCTCTCGGGAGAGTTGCGGCTAGCTTCCGTTCACGAGGGCGTGAACTTGCAGGGAAGCGTGGTGGATTGTAAGCAACCAAAGAGAACGACTCGAGAGACGATCCATGGGGTTTAAATATAGAGGGAAAGGGCCCATGAACAAGAGTGCACCCACTTTTCCAATCGGTTAAGGGTCTTGGGATATTTGGAGTTAAGCGTCCTTGGGTTTGAATAGTACTGGGCTAGGTGACCTCCTAGGAAGTCCAAACTCAGGAGCTTACATTTGGTATTGGAGCGGTCTCGGGTCTGACTCTGTTGGTTGGCTAGTGGAATCACACCACATATTGATTGACATCTGGCTGGTCCAGTTTGCTCCCACTGGGCTCGACCCAAGGGGTAGGGTGTCAAGAGAGCGAGGCTCTCGGGAGAGTTGCGGCTAGCTTCCATTCACGAGGGCGTGAACTTGCAGGGAAGCGTGGTGGATTGTAAGCAACCAAAGGGAAGGACTCGAGAGACGATCCATGGGGTTTAAATATCGAGGGAAAGTGCCCATGAACAAGAGTGCACCCACTTTTCCAATCGGTTAAGGGTCTTGGGATATTTGGAATTAAGCGTTCTTGGGTTTGAATAGTACTGGGTTGGGTGACCTCCCGGGAAGTCCAAACTCAGGAGTTTACACAAGTGTTGCACCCAAGGCTTAGGATTTAGAGGGTCCCATGATCAAGCCTTGTGGTACCAAGGGGTGTTAGGAATCTAGAGGCTTGGTGTGCTTGGCTGCTTGTGCCTGCGGGGAGTGTAGCCGAACCTTAAGTCCAGTCTAACCCGGGGAGGGGGATTGGGAGAGATTTGGGAATCCGCGGATGGAAGGCTAACTCTCCATTGCTCATGCAGTGAGTAGCTAAAACCAAGTAGGACCAAGTAGGAGCTGGTACAATAGGCGAGAACTTTGGCGAGGGAACTTAGCACAAGCCAAGGCAGTGTTGGTCAGATAGACGAGGTAAGCTAGCAAATTGGAAAGGAAAAATTTGTGGCTTACAATTTGGTATCGGAGCTTCTTCCTCAGTTCTAGTGAAGGATAGAGGCGGATTGCTGGGAGATGGCAAAGGTAGGGCGTAAGCGAACCCAGGCGGAGACAGAACCTCCGCCAGAGCTAGAGCCTCCGGTTGAACAAGAGGCTATGGATGAGCAATCCTTGCATGAGGAGGACTCCAGTGAGGAAACTTCCAAACAGGAGTCTGGTGGCGAGGTTCGGTCGTCCAAGGCTCGATTGGACGTTCTAGAAGGACAATTGGCACAGACCAATGCCCTGCTGGAGACTCTCGTACGCAAGCTAAAGCGTGACGAGAAGCGGAAGAAAAAGAGAAAGACTGCAGATGCTGGCAACGTAGAAGGTGTGGACCTTTCGGTAGGGACTGAGGCAAAACTAGATAAGGTTGAGCAGACCGAAGTGGAATCAGTCCCTTAGGCAGTTCCCAAGTACAAATCAAAGCCCTCACCGGTCTTCAAGGGAGTGAATGACTATAAGGTGGTGGAGGACTGGTTTTATGATATGGAGGACTACTTCCGAACATTGCGGTTACCAAGC